TTTTCGAAATTATATAAACATTCATTGGTCAGCCTTCGTAGACAAGTGACAAACGAAACTATAGGTAGGATCGTTTTCACTATGAGACAGAAAGAGATGGAGAAGTCCTGTTCTTACCAACACGCTATCCGAAACGATTCTATTGATGGACTCATTTCCCACGTATCTGAGCGACATAGATTCGTTTGCCACTTGTCTCGAGAGGTTGTTTCAAGTCCTTGACATCTTGAATTTGTCGCCGGTTTTAAAAATGATTTCTAATCGTAAAAACCATTTTGTATTCACATTCTTAAGCCAATTATATCTAAATTATAATACCAAAGATATAAAAACGTTTTTAATACACTATGTGTTCTGGAAACTTAGGAGACGCTAATTAGTTATGTGAGAATTATATGCGCAACTCTTTGGATGTGAAGAGATCCTTTATGCGAGATTTCTGAACGAGATTTTAAATATATTATATTTTCCTTTATTGTACTAAATAACAAAACTTGAATATTTGGGTCGATTTTAATGAACCATTTCTCTAAACCTATCCCATATCTTAATATTTATTTATATGCTTTTGTACATTCACTTATAGGTATATATATAGGTTGTAACAAAAATGTACACAGGCGGACTTATCCCTTATAGGGATTTCTCACAGTCAACCTTGAGAACCCGAAAAAAGCGTCTATAGCATTTGTATATATAGCTTAATATTTTAATTTTATCAATTCGCATAATTTCTATTTTATGGGCCATCATAAACTAAATTTATAATAATTTTAAATAGATTTAACCATTAGAAATTTAGTTTAGATTCGTCCTTAGAACAAAGATTTTGATGTGATATCAAATTGAAATTCGAATTTAAGAGATAGGTTTAGAGATTTGACGTCATAAAATGGACCCCATTATTGTCCTTTGTGTATTTTTTTTTGTGTGTGAAAAAAAAAATAATAATATGTATATAATGATATTTGAGATTACTCTCCTTACCCTGCAATTTAAAGTTTCAATCCTCACATTTTTAATAGACGTCTCTTTTTCATTATGTAGGTACATCACGTTTTTGATTATCGAATTTCTAAAATAATAATCTTAAAGAATACCAAGAAAAACTTAACAAAAATGAGTAAATAAAAAGAAAAATACATAAAATAATCAAGTGAAAATTGGATGAAGCTTTTAGCTCGTATTTGCACTCGATGCCACTAGAAGATAAAACGAATCATTATTTCAAATCATACTTTTATATTTTGATGATTACTTTTATTTTTAAGTTATTTCAATTAAAAAAACAAAACTTCTTTTATTACCAGTTTGTCTTCAGTACATCTTATGACATATTTCTAAAATTAAGTTTAGTTCTAAATTTGAATTTGGCGCGTATAATTAAATTTGTGCATACCAATTTTGTACCCATACACGGAACTTCGTTTTATGTCTTTCATAAGTGAACAATAGGGTTGGGTTATATATAGCAATATCTATATATTTTAATTACAATATGTATATACTGGTGCAATAACGAATATGTTAAAAATCTTTTATCCAAAAATTAATATTGGATAATAGACTTTTAACATATTAAAAAATAGATATTCAATCGATATGTGCGATACGAAATGGGCGATGACCTTTTTTTGCTATCAATGTCCCAAAGAGCCCAATTTATAGATATCGAATCGGTATCCATATAAGCCATGGTCAGTGATCGATAAAAGATGTTCTACATACATTTTTTTTATACAACTTAGAATCGCAAACAAGCTGACAGCCCACTTGATGGAAAGTGGTAACCGTCGCCTGTAGACATGAGCAGTACCATGGACATAACAGAGTATACTATTTCGCCCATGATACCCCCCATGCGTTGCCATTCCTGAGGACTCAGGTGTTATTCCTCCGTACCCAGTAAATTCACTCCATATCCCACCCATCAAACCGAAACACAGCCATGCAAACACAACTGCTTTAGGGTTGAAACCCTATTCATCATCCTTACTGATGATGATTATAAAAAAATATATGTGAAAGTGTGTTTGTCCAGTACTATGAAATTTGGTATACAGGTACAAAATATGATGGCGAAAGACAGGATATTTTTTATTCCAATCACTGAAAATATCTCGGCCATGCGGACGAAGTCGTCAATAAAAACTAGTATAGACTGGTAAGATTTTGCTCCACAAAAAATAGCCGTTTCAATCGTGATATACTAGTCGTAAATAAGGGTTCGTCACTGATGGAAATCCTATTGAATGAAAGAACCATTATCAAAATTGGTTTAAAATTGAAAAATATTGCCAGAAAAAATATAAAGATAATGAGAACAGCTTTTTGTTAAAAATGTCTCAAATTACACAGAACCACGTTTATACCTTCTCGTGACGAGGAGTGCATTATAAAAAAAAGAAAAAAAATATAGTAGTACACAATAATCCTATAATAATAACCGCTTGAGCAGCACTAGACTAGATTTTCGATAAGCATTTGGTATTTGTTCTATATTTAATAATAGCACAATTCAAAGTATGTACCTATATATTTATATACTAATATTTATTTACTAAATCATATACGTTAAGATGGAGGGAGCCTCGAGTGTCATAAACTGGTAAAAAGTCAAGCAAACGTCACTTACTGCCGACTGAATATGACAGTTATTTTTTTTTAATAAAAGAAAGCGCGCCATTTTTCAGTGTTGCAAGTAATTAAAAATTCCCACGACCGGGTGGAATTTCTAAATTTGGAATAGAAACTTTTTTTCGCGTAATATAATTTAGATTTTAATGCACATATTGTATACTACAAGTTAGTATATATATATATATATATATATATATATATATATATATATATATATATATATATATATATATATATACACAATGTCTGCTACTTTTAATAATTCTGATAACGAATATATATTTTAAATATATTCATAGATGCCAATCAGAGTAATATATGATATAAGCATCACTTTGCTCCATTTACCGCGTCATTATAAATATAGAGTAAAAAAAAAATTATTGGATTTATTTTTCTACTTAACTTTACAATACCTATTTATGTACACACAAAGAAAAAATGATTTGCCAAAAACTTGACCTGTTTTTGGCAAATCATTTTTATGGAGACGCTTTATCTGGGAATTTATAATCTAAGATAATGATGTCAATTATCTATAGTAAAGTGATCCATTTGATTGATACTTTTTTTTATAAAGAATTGGTCATCGAATAAAACAAATTACTTATAGCAACACTCTTGGAATTATTAATAAATCTGATTACTACAACGAAATTATAATACATAGATATTATATATAGATATAATATAGATAATATCTATATATCTATCATCTGTGGTGATATTGATTCATTATCGTCTTACTCCACCACTGAAATTGAATACTTACCCGAGAGAAATTTGGATCAAAATTATATAAAAACTATATATCTTATCTTAAATATGTATTGCAGATTTTTTATTATAATTGTGTATATTTACTGACAGATGTGTACGTAAAATGGCCACATTAAATGTTTCATAAAAAAGCAGTAGTATTTAATTTGTCAATTGTGATTATCATACCACTTACGAAACAAAGAAATAACTGTTACAGTTTTCTACAAGAATCTACAAAATGGTGATACGTCAAAGTACATGCAACAGAATTATTAAAGAAACAATGTGTCAAGTAATTTTAGCAATTTAGCAGATTCTCGCAGAAATTTATCAAATGATTAAATTACTTTGGGTTTTTTATTAAACACCCAAAATGGCCATTTTAGACCGGATCAAATCCACACATCTGGGGCACCATGATCATCAATGATTCAAATAAGAAAAAAATATATGGAAAACCAACATATTATATGAGGAACTATTAACATATTATATAGGTAACATTTTTTAAATATAAAATAAAAATTTATGATAAAAATACCTCAACCAATTCTTTTACCCTTTCGAAGGATAATAACCTATCGAATTACCTATTTTAATAACCTATTTTAAATTTGATTAAACCGCTTGCATTGACTTAACATACCATCAGCTCCATTTCATATACATGGAAACTGATATCGACTAGTTGAAACCATTAAGGTGGTTGATCACTAAACAAAATTAGACACGAAATTCTAGATGGCGCTAGAATCGAGACTTATAATTTTTGTTGATTATCTTGTAATTAAACATAATTCGAGGCAAAATTTCACAATTGGCGAGTAATTTTATTTATTTTTTACCGATATAGTAATAATTTATCATAATTTTTGTCTTTATTCTCTTGTATTGTACAAATTAGTAAAAAAACACATACATAGTAGGAAACATTGCGATTGTGTGAATTATAATTCGTTTAGAAAAAGTTCACGTATTATCTGTTACTTAACATTCATGCATAATAATAAAAACCACTCGCCAATTTAAAAATTTTACTTTAAATTATCTTTAAATTATAGAATAATAACAAAAATCACAAGTCCCGATTCCAGCGCCATCTAGAATTTCATGCCCGGTTTTTTTAGTGACCAGCAACCTTAATAATAAATTTAATGGTAGAATATAACTAGTATACTTTAAATGTAGAGTAGAATTTAAACAATATTTCCGAATATACTGATACTTTAAACACTCATGCTAAGACACTCATTAGATAATCAGAGGTACAAAATAGCCACTTTAGATGAAGTATGATTACTATCATTCATTTCGTATATCCGACCGAGTCCAATAGGTATCTCGCGTCGAAGAGGTACTATTAAAGTACTAGTATTTTAATTGGTCGGGTTATACGAATATAAAATGCGTTTTAGTCCCTCAGAAAACCTTATTAGTAAAAAAACATTTAACCTACGCAACGCGGATTTATTTAAGATAATATAAAAATTGTTTTTTATAGACATTATTAGGGACTATTTTGATTGGAGTGATCGTCTAATGAGTGCCTTATAAATATTCGTCACACATTGCTGCTTCAATATATATTCACGAAAAAATAATGCATCTATGATTATTTTTATTGTCATTTGCACGTGTATTATACTTTAATAAAACTACATTGATTATAATAAAAATAGTGCACATACAAAAACATTAACAGTGCGCGCAATGTACATTGGCTACCAGGAGAACATAACATAACGGAGTAGCAATTTTTAAAGACTAAATCAACAATGGTATAATGTAGGGAGCAGGAAAGGGAAAGCATGAAAGAAAGGCTACGAATGATATAGCTTTTTCACTCATTCGCATTCATTAGAAATATTTATACTCTTTCTCACATTAAAATCATTGGGAGAATCTAGCTTTTAAGACATGAGGCTTTGTTTAGATGCTAGTGATCGCGGACTCATAATTAAAATACTTGGCAACACAAAATGATTGATTGATTGACGGACTGATTGTCATTCTAAGTGGCCAACTTACATCGTACGATTAGTACTAAATAATACACATATATTGACTATTTCATGTGTAATCTAATGTCTAAATAATGATATGGATTTAATATAGGTAAAGTTATACAAATGATTACAACATCCATGCATATAATCGTCAATGTTATTTGAATGGTAGGAATTACCACATCTAAATATCTATGGTAAATATTACCATGGTCGGTAAAACCAACAAAATGGTCGGTTAATACTATAAAAGTTCACAATGCAATACACTACAAAAATTTTAATGAAAAAAATAATACACAGTGGAAACACTCACTCGTACGACTCGATGAAAAAATCAAAATCAAATTAATAATTGTCTATGGCGTAAAGCTGATTAGAGAAAAAATAAAATTCAAATTTCGAGTTTTGATTTCTATCGAGTTCGCAACAAGTCAATAACATTCGAAATTCGAATCACAAACGTCAAGCTCAGGAGGTGCAACAGTTACTCAAGCCTCTACAACTGCAATTGACCTTCGGCGCCCTCCGCCTGCAGAACCCGTAGCATTTCAAAGCTAAACAACACAACCCCCCTTTTTTACTACCGTCCGATTTACAAGACTCCCTACTATTCAGCCTCTGTATCTCAGGTACGTTATACCTATCGTCGGTGAGTAACTTATCGAGTCTATGTTTTAGTTGCGTAGGAGAGACGCTCCTGTCTCGATTCAACTTAATCGATTTCGACTCGATTATACTTGTCCCCAGAACGTCGTCTACCTCGTCCGCGATCTCCTCAGTACTGGACGCATCCTCGACGTTGGGCGTGTGAGAATCGATACTCTCCGGCGTGTACGGATCTAAGCACTGTCGCACGCAGAGCAACGTGTTATCGATTTCATTTACGAATACACCGTCGTAACTCGAATAATCGGCAGTGGTGATTTCGACGTCGGGTATGCGGAGAATTTTCTCGTTTAGGGAGCCGGTTCGAGTTCGTTTCAGTCTGTGATCGTCTGTCAAGGTGTCAGGGTGGCTGGAGAAGAGGGTTTTGACTTTTTTACTGGCGTAAAGGTCGGGGTCGGTGGGTCGTCGTGCGAGGGGGTGGCGGGGGTTTCGGGGGAGGCGGGCGGCGCTGAGGCAGAGGGCGCACGGCAGGCCGCTGGCGCAACACGGTACGGTACCTCGGTCGCTCTGCAGCATCACACGGAGGTAGATTGGCTGCAAAGAATTATCGTTATTAGGTAAGTATTTACTTTCGCTATAATATAAACATCTTAAATATAATAATAAGTGCCGCACAATCACACGAATCGTCTGATCCTCACGCTAGAATACTCCATACATAATAAACGTAATATTATATACATCGAGGAATTAGATAATGAACATATGGCAGCACAACGTATAACACCCAGACCCGAGCCATTTAAAAGTTGAAAATCCGTAGACTAAATAGACCTGACCGAGGCTTAAACCTCATTACGCAAAATATATTCGTTGAATAGAGACGTTTTTTTTTATACCACTGAGTTGGCAAACAAGCATACGGCCCACCTGATGGTAAGCGGTTACCGTAGCCTATGAACGCCTGCAATACCAGAGGTATTACGCGCTCATTGCCGACCCTGAAGAAACCTCTTTACCCCCCTTTTGAAGAACCCCATGCTGTAGTCTCTCGGGAAAACCTCGGCAGGGAGCTCATTCCATAACCTGAGTGTTCGTGGGAGAAAGCATCTCTGAAACCGCGTTGTACGCGACCATTTAGGCTGTAAGGTACGTCAAAAAAAACATGTCAAATCGATACCTTATGGTCTCCCATGCAAGCCGTATCGCCTATTACGCCGTACTCGTTCCGTTTGCGAGCTGGCCCCTCCACCAGGCGGCGGAGCTCGGACGACAGCGTGTCGCCCGGCTTGGGGGAGCCCTCCGATTGGTTGCGGACGAGCTTGCGGCGGATCGGGGAATGTTCTGACTCCGCTACCCTGGAAGGTGACCCCATTTTGATTAGACACAACTGACATTACAGTAGTAGTGGCATCGTCAATTACTGTAATATATTATTTAAATTTAATGTGATTTGGGTGTAAAATGACCACTTTGGTGGATTAATGTTTTGTTGTGCTAGAGATAGATTCAAAGTGCTCATTTTAGAGTCCTAGAAAATTTACTATTAAAAATATTATGACGTCACATATTGTGCGTGCAATAATCAGATAAATTGACCTATTTGTGCAGTAAACATGCTAAACCTATTTGTGCACATCCTAGGTTAAGCATCACACGATTATTGGATGGGTGACCACTAGTGACATTAATATCATTGATGCAGGCTCATAATCTATCTTCTTCTAATCGTATATTCTTTTCATCCAGACGGTTTGAGCAGTAGGATCAGGATTCTGTATAGAAGGTGAAATCTATAGGTTCCTTCTAAGGACGTGTTCTATCAATTTTCCAAATAAAATGGTGCAAAAACCGACAAAAAATGTCAAGTATCTTATACTAATTTGTTGGCTTGACACGCTGTGTACTATATTATTTCAACTTCACCCTTTATATAAAAGAAACTGTTCCACCAATCAATACACAGTCGAATTGGAGAGATAGTTTGGCTCCTCATATAACATAAGGAGGCAGTATAAAAGGATTTACCGAAGCTTCCACGGGAATGCGCAGGGGAAGTCGCGGGAAATGGTTAGTATGTATATAAAAGTGGACATTGACTAGGCTCAGCTTAAACTATTAAATTCAGATTTTTCTTATATATAAAATATCATCTATGTAGTTATTTATTAGTGTAATATAAATCATTCCCTTTTGGTCCTTCGAGTCGGATAATTTTTTCAATAACATATTCTTTAATATAAACATAATATAATAATTATTCATCGCCGTGTGGTCATAGGCCACTCTTTCCTTCCTCGTGGGTGTCGTAAGAGGCGACTAACGAAGGGCGAGGGATGGGCAGCAGCGTCCCTCTCAAAACATCTCAAAGTTAACTGCAATTACCAATCCGCCTGCCAAACGTGGCAACTACTGGCGAACCTCTCAAGGGTGAGGCGTATGTTCAGCAGGGGACAGTTAACGGCTGATATGATGACGATGATGAATCATTCATACATATAAACATAATACGAGTTTTCTCTTAACAATCACTTTAGAATGCATAGGTGCCATCTAATACTTATCTAACATTTGTAGATAAGTTCATATTAAAAGGTTAAAAACATGGTGCACACAAGACTTCTCTACTTTACTCACCTCAGCAAACTGGCGCAGGCGCATATCAAGATAAATATTTTTTACATTTCTCATTACAGACATGAAACAGCCTATTTCTGTGGCAAAGTCTAATTATGTCATCATCGTTTCAAGCACTATTTGTTCATTGATTTATTTCATACACAATTATATTTCACATCATAACCAATTTTAAGGAACATGAAATAATTCCTAAACACTGAATATAGTTTTTTTTTTTTTTTCAATAAAACTGACGTTAGGACCGAACCTAAGGCTTCATATCTCTTAATCTAATATTTTAATTTGATAATTTAGCGAAATTACTGTTTTATGGACTGTCATAAACTGAAATTATAACAATTTTGACTTAATTCTATTAGAAAATTAGTTCATATTGATTTTTATAATAAACATTTCGCTGTGGCATCAAAGTGAAATTTTAATTTTAGAAATAGAGTCAGAAAAAATATCGCCTCAGAATCGATCCAGTTGTTTCTATATTTTATTTTTTACTTTTTAGATTTTACTTAAAATTTATTAAATGGAATATTTCATGGGTTTCTTTTAAAATAATACTAGAATATAGTTTTAGAAGCATGAAATTTTGCTTAGTTATTTATATGACATATGTAGGCGACTTATACAAATAAATGTCTAATATTTCAAATAAAAAAAAAAACAAAATAAGGGGTTAAAAATTTTATCCCCTTATTTTTTATAGCTTGAAAAGTCAAAAACCTATGGTCCTACATGAAAAAGATATTAAAGATAAAAAAATTCAGCACAATTCAAACTATACGGTAGAATAGGAAAAAAAAATCACATTTTAAATATACATAAATAATATATTAATATAACATTTAATAATACAAGTTTCTGTGATTTGTTTTAATCTATATCTTTCCCATGTCCTATTTAAGATATACCTGAATATATATTAACAAATACGTTAAAAATGCTGCCATCTTATATACATAACTACATAGTTCCTTTAATTGTAGTGTACTTTTCCTTCATGTCTTGTTCATTTCCTCCAGCCTATAGGCATGTATGTATGTATATATGTATGGATATAATATGAGTAAGTACCTAGCATTGATGGCCTGCTGCACGCTGGTGGGATCGGCGATGCTCTTCCTGCTGGCGGAGGCGGCCGGCACGCACAGTGCATCCAGCTCGGCCACGCTGCCCTTCTTCTCCAGGGTCTTACCAGGGCTGGACTGTCGAACATTGCTCACCATTAATAACTTATATAAAACTATAAGGGTAAAATCGAGTCGTTAGCACTACGTGAAACCTAGAATCTATCTACGATATAGAATACTAGCTTTTACCTGCGACTTCGTTTGCATGAACAAGATAATATTCACTGACCGAAATAAAAGGCTTCTTCGTCTTATATAATAAGTGTATACCAAATTTCATAATGATTGTTAAATCCCTTAAGAGATATTACTATCTCTTAAGGGATTTAACAATTATTATGAAATTTTCACATTTTTATATGTATTTATATAGGTAAGAAATTATCATTTAAGTATATAATACAATAAACGACTGGATTCATCAAGAATTCCAATGGGAATGATATACGGGAACTACATGGAAGCGAGCAATGCCGCGGGAAACGGCTAGTAATGAATAAAATCACGGAAGGCTTACCTGTCCGCGTGCCGGACTGCCGTCAGCGGAAGTTCGGCCACTACTTTCGCTCGACTCCGCCACTGACTTTCTGCAATACATATTCATCGTATAATTGCATTTTTTTATGCAACTTAGAAGTGCAAACAAGCGATAACCGTCGCCTATAGACATGAGCAGTACCATAGATATAACAGTGTATACTGTTTCGCCCATGATACCCCCATGCGTTGACTAAAGTATTATTCCTGTCTACTTTACAAATTCACTGGCATATCCCACTCTTCAAACCGAAACACAGCCATTCAAACAGAACTGCTTCACGGTTGAAACACGAACGGGACAGAGGTATCCAAGCAAACGACTTTTGTACAAAGTCTCCCTCTGTACTTCGTTTCCTTAATACATTATCCATTATCCTTAATTCCATATTCCAAGTTGCATAAAAAAAAAAAAAAAAACAATGCACCAGTAAAAAAAAGTTTAAACAAATTTTATTTAAAACTAATGTCCCGCCCCACCTTGGCATGGATAGTGTAGGAATATTTATTTATTTAGTTTAATCAAATCCAGCCCATGTCACTTGCTGATAATGTAGATATTTATAGTCGATTTTTTTTAAATTAAGTATTTTTTTAATATAGAAGGACGCCATTAGATCGACTCACGAATAAAGTGTCATACTTAGAAGTGAACAGTGAGAACAGCAGGTTTTCGGTAACCAATTATTACGTCGTAGTTACGTCGGGGAGCGCCGTCAAAAATATTCCCAGGGGCGTCAAAATAGGCCAGCCCTGCATCAAAGTTGTATAAAAAAAATACCTGGACGAATGTAAATGCTTGTTGTCTCCAATTCGACCGGAATCCTGATGCTGGACTAGAAGTCGCGCTGACTGCGACAGTAGGATACGGTCGCACCACGCTGGACACCTACAACAAATCATAAGGGGGGAAGGGATTATTAGTAATGCGGACTGCCAAATCCATTGTTAGTATATACCCTATCAGGCCAACCTCCCCGCGGTCCTCTCTGGAAACCATCGTGCTGAATTCCAGGTGTATTCATCACGATGGGCTAACTGACCTACCTTTTTATTCACGTGATATACATGATACCTATCATGTATGTCACGTGATGAATACGCCTGGAATTCAGCACAATGGCTTCCAGGGGGGACCTCGTGGAGGTCGGCTTGATAGGGTATATTGACATGGACAGGAACTGGTATTATGGGTAGTACCTTCCCCCGGGGTATTATGGGTACCACAGTGTATTTTGTGACGTAGACGGTACTGTTCATGTCTACGGCCGACAGTTATTACTTTTCATCAGATGAGCCATCAGCTGGTTTGCCATTCTCAGTATTAAAAAATAATTTAAGACTGTTTAACAAAAAAAAAAAAAAACACTTCAGTTATGATAAAACCAGTTTTTTTTATACAACTTAGAATGGCAAACAAGCTGACGGCCAACTTGATGGAAAGTGGTAATCGTCGCCTATAGACATGAGCAGTACCATGGACATAACAGAGTATACTGTTTCGCCCATGATACCCCCCATGCGTTGCCATTCCTGAGGACTCAGATGTTATTCCTCTGTACCCAGTAAATTCACGCTATATCCCACCCTTTAAACCGAAACACAGCCATGCAAACACAACTACTTCACAGTTGAAACACGAATGGGACAGAGGTTTGGGTACCTCTGGCAATCGACTTTTGTACAAAGTCTCCCTCTAGTAAAATACATACATAGAGAAATAAATTATACAGAAATATAGAACAGTTCTCACCTCGTCTTCATATAATGCGTAGGTAGATGTACGTCCTCCTCGAAGGGATATGACGGTGGGAACTTTACGGGAAACTCGTACAGGTGGGGCCGGAGAGCCTCCAATTCTTTGTCGAACCGTTGCAGCTGCAAATATAATCTTTCTCAAACATGCTTGGAAATATGAGCATTATTTTGACAATCTTCTTCGAGATAAGTCAAAATTGCCGTACTGACCAGATACATGCGGGCAGCGGCCGGCAAAAGTTGTATGAAAATCCATATCTGTCGTGTTTTGCGGCCAGATAAATTACTATGTAAACTCATATCTGTCCTATAATTTAAAAATGGAATGACCTTTTACTTCGAAACATGGCTACCAAGGAGGTAACTAATAAAATGTTTTATTTAAATTTCGAACTGGCTTGCAAATAGAAAGCTGTTTATTGAAAAAAAAAACAAAGGAACATTATGGCGCGTGAAAAATTATTATTGTTCGTTATTTGTCATTGAACTTAAAAAGTAAAATTGTGTTATTGATTTCCGGGCATTATTTGAGAAAAGTACTATACAAGCCTTGGCCACAACTAGGCATTGATGGACTCACGTATGTGTGCCTCGGTAACGCCTCGGCCCACATTTGCACGTTCGTCCATTAATGCCTCAGTTGCTGGCCGCTGCAGTAATGTATTATAACAATTTGACTACTTGGCTTTATAGCTGTTACGGTGTCACAAGTGTTAGATTCAAATTCATTAGATTTTTTAATTTGACAATTTTCATTATACTTAAAAAGTATATATAAAAGGTAAAATTAAATAATGCATAATAATAAGAAAACACATACCTATCGTGATACAATTTTAATGACTGGATAATATTGTAACAGATCCTTAGACTATTTCTAAAGTAAAAAACAAAGAGTTGTCCTCCTCTCTCGTTTATAATTGAAGTTGAAATGTTATCTACTAATTATATTACGGAATGCAATAAATAAATACATTAACAGTGTTTTTTTTTCAAATTTCCACTATGTACAAACACAATTTGTTTTATACAAAATTGCATGTGTGTTGCTAGCCTATAATACTGTGATATGTCGGGGGGAAAAGGATTGTTAGTAATGGAGACTGAGAATCCCATTGCTAGCAATATACCCAACCAGGTCGACCTCCTCGCGGTTCTCCCTGGAAACTATCATGGTTAATTCCTGATGAATTCATCATGATGGGCTAACTGGCCTGTTTCCATTCTCATCAATCACCCTTCACTGGTGCTCCGCCAGCGTATCCCGTTAGCGCAGGCGGGGTTACCACACCATTTTCACCCATAAAAAAAAATACTGATATGTCTATGGCTGGTTTCTTATCTTTTTAATATGGCAACTTCGTGTTTAAAATAAAAAGGGCTATTACTATTTCACATCTACTGCTGAACGTAAGCCTTCCCAGGAGAGACTTGCTAGTAGTTGCCACGCTTTGAAGGCGAGTTGGCAACCGCAATTAGACTTTGGAGATGTTTTAAGAGAGAGACACTGCTGCACATTCTTCGACCAATAACTTCCCTTAGTTGCTCTTACGACATCCACGGAAAAGCAAGGGGACAACTAGAGATGGGCAATCCACCTGGGTGGGTTTAAAGTCTGGTGGGTAAAAACCGGGTGTTTTGGGTTTATTGGGTTTAAACCCCATAAACACCCAAATTTTTGGGTGTTTATGATTTTGTACTTCATCATCGTCATCTCAGCCGCAAGACGTCCACTATACTGGACATAGACAATATTATTATGCAGCCTACAGAATAAAAAACTTTTAATTTGATTTTGAGTTTATTAAGAAAGAGATGAAAGTAAAATGTAAAACTACAGTCAATCACTGTCAGATTCAGAGTTATTACAAGCGATGAATTGTATAGGTTCGATAGGCTCTATTTCGTCTAAACTGTTATGTTCATTTACTTGCTCAATGAAAGCTTCTAAGGTATTTTCTTCATTAAACTGAATGTCCTCGCATTCAGCTTTATGTTTAAGATTCCAGTTATAACAAATGAATGAAATTTTTTCAGTTCTTTCAGTTGTAAGTCGATTTCTTTTGTTATTATGTATGTAGCCTTGGATACTAAAGGAACGCTCAGTGGCTGCCGAAGTACAGGGAGCTGATAGAATACGAATCGCTACTTTGCTTAACTCAGTGGAACCACAAATACCTTTCCACCATATTAGGGGCTCAATGCTATCTAATGAGCTCCATACAAATCCTCTGGCCCAAAAGTTTTCTTTAGCTTTATAACACGCCAAATCTGCCATTACATTTGACAAACTTAAGTGTTGGCTTAAATTGTAGATAAACTCCATACCCTTAAGTTCTTCCTCTTGAGTAAGTTCGACTCCTAGAGTCCTGGGGTCTAGAATATATGCTGCAAAATGTATTGGCCTCATTGCCATATTGCATCTTGAAGATACTGATGTTAGAATCTGCTGTTTGCTTTCTTCGCTCAATGTCGAAATCTCATTTAATGCAAAACGTATCTTAGCTTGTACATCTCTAAATGTAATGTATGTGCGATGCAAACGATTCTGGTCGCTCTCTAAGTAAAATATGCTTTCAGTGACTGGTTCCAAAATACTTATACATTCCCCTGTCTTCGTCCAGAAATCATCACTTAGAATTAAATCTTTAATATCTCTTGAAATTACCACATCTTCTCTAACTGTTAATATTTGCAAAGCTATCTTATTTGCTTTCAAACTTTTTAACGAAGTAACATGACTTCCCCATCTTGTAGCACAAGGCAATTTTAGTGTTTGTGTAGAATCTTCACCCTGCCTTGATTTTATCAACAAGGAACTTAATCGTTGACTCCTTTTAACAGTTTTTATTATATTTATGGCTTGCATAATAAACACAGTTACTTCTTGTATCTTTACAATATCTTGGCACAACAAGTTAAGGATATGTGCACAGCAACCGAGAGGAACAACATGTGGATATTTGAGTTTTGTTAATTCGAATGCCTTTTGTATATTTCTAGCGTTATCGCCAATAAGTACAAGAAACTTATTTGCTCCATACACTTTCATTACTTTTTCAACTTCTTGGCTAAGGTATTCACTAGTGTGAGGATTACTTTCTGTATTCAAACTTTTAACGTATGCAGGTTGAGGTTTTGATATAAGAAAGTTTATTATTCCTTCATTTCTTAAATTAGACCAGCCATCGCACTGAAGGTGTAAGTAACTACAAGCATTTAGTTCCTCATTTAACTCAAAACGCATTTCTCTATATATTTTATCTAAGTATTTTGTCGCTAAAGCTTTACGTGAAGGTATTTTAAATTTTGGTTGCAATTTTTCGAAAAATTGTATCCATAAAGGATGTTGCACCATCGATAATGGCGTCCCTGTTACAAATATAGCTCTCGCTAATTCTGTTTTTATATGATCATCGGTGTCTTGAAACTCAGCATTTATTGTAGTGTTAGCAGACGACGAGGGGCTTATAAAAGAATCATTTGTCTCTATCTCTGACAGTCCAGACATTTTGGTTTTGGACGAGCTATCTTTTATAAGTTTCATAGAGTCTTTTAATGTTTCTGGAGATTTTGGACAAGTGATAAGATGTTGAAGCATTTTGGCAGCATTACTGAATTTGTAGACCTTATTACAAAGCTTGCAAGAAACAGACTTGTTTGGTAAAGTACGGTAGTGCTCCCATATGCGTAAATCTTTAGGTCTCCCCATTGAACCTAAAAAAATGAACGATGATTAGTTGGTCTGACGAAAATTCAACAATAGAGTGCCTATTTTTTTACAATGATTATTTCTTGTTATTTACAATAAATTTATTAAAAAAATAATAAAATAAATACAAAAAACCTTTGTAAAATTACATCTCCTCGGAGGATTAAACGCAGACGCTAGTTTATTATCGTATTGTTCTGTATTTTTCTCAGCAACTTCTTTAATTCGATTAGGTACTTACGCATATTATGTTAAAAATAAATATCTAGTACACATCTTAGGCTATCCACCATTATTATCCAATGACGACTCTCAGCTAACTATGCACTATCATCCAAAATAAACGTGTATGGAAAATTTTATCCCAGTCGGTTGAGGATTGAGGATAATTGCATCAACATACGAACATACCTACATACTTTTATTTACATAACGCAAGCTAAATAAAAGCTTGTAATAATACATCTAATTTTAAGTTAAAATTGTTAAGTGATCATGATATAATTGTATCATTCAAAAATCCACTTACCTTTAATTATTTCTTGTTAAGTATAAATATTATTTCAAATCTGCTCCCTTAATATGCACTTTTTTACTGCTTTTCCTACCTAACACGTTACCAGGAAGTCACGTTACCAGAGTCAGAGTAATAGTGAACACGTTTGACAGTGATTGTCGTCGCCTCATATTCAGCGTCGACGAATAGGGGAATCCCCAGTCATAATGTATTGCATGCGTGGCGGTCTTACTTCAAATCCATAAACAAAGAGATAATTACAGAACTCGATACTAGATGGCGCTGTTTTTGTTTGAAGAAAGTTTGCGGGCTAAAATACATAGAATTTCATCAATGACTTCCACAAAGAACAACATTTCTGTTTTTTCTAAGTCCGTATCTCTTCCGTATATTTCATAAGATATAAGCTTGGGCTACATTGTTATGCAACGTGATTTTGTCGCTGTCTTGCTAGCAGGGTTGACAGATATACGATTTAAATCGTACTCATACTATTATTTGTCTATTTTTTAATGTACGATCGTAAAGATTATGATCGTAATTCGCACAAAAACATATGACTTTTTGGTTACCTGGCAACATTTTTATTATGAAACGAACATGCTCACATCATCAGTCACATGCAACAATTTATTGGGGATTTCCCCTTCACATCTGGCAGTCCTGCTTGCTAGAATATAGGTAAGTCAGCCACAGTTACTGACGATCGATATTTAAAGGGTATTGTTTTTGTGCTAAATATTTCATAAAAACGTTATTTAATACTTTGTGGATTATTAATTTAGTTGATAATCACTGGAAGTAAAATGGATGCTAATTTGAGAGATCAAGATCTTCGTATAAAACAGTTAATAAAAGAAAATCTACGTAAGTACTCTTTTTATACCTAGGTAGGTAAGGTATAATAAACACAAAAGGTACTTAGATCGCGTGTGTTCGAAGCATTTATTCTAATAAATTTAATTTAAAATTGTAGAAAGAAAAAAATGTCTGCCAAGCCGTAGCCGAAGCCGATCTCCAAATATATTTGGCGATAGTGAGACCCAGTGTCCAGATGATTTACCCAGCGTCGTCGCAACAAAGAAAAAAACGAGGATAAAGTAAAAGAAAATTTACTGAAAGAAGAAACAAACTGTTCTAAATGCTTAATTTATGGAGAAGAGGATAAAAGAAATGAGTATTTCGGACTGTTAGTGGCTCAAGAATTTAAATATATACGGCCATGTGTGCGAACGAGGTGTTATGAAGAAATTTTAAAGTATCTACGGGAAGCAAAAGGCCAACATGTTGATCAACTGCAACATGAAAACACTGAAAATTAATTACTTTCATTTTATTATATATAGATTTTTAAAATTTCCTGAAATATTATTAGTTAACGTTTTATTTAATATTGTAGAATTGATCAATACAATTTATAAAAATAATTTATTGGTATTACTTACATATTTTCAAAAAAATACGTAAAAACCTATTTTTTTGGGTGATTATGGGAGTTTATGGGTGTTTATTGGGTTTTTACCAAAGCACCGGGTTTAAACCCGGTGCTTTGCCCATCTGTAGGGACAACCCATTCTATGCCAGGACCACACAGCGAGGTATACTACCTCACATACAAATACATTACCCAACGTACCCACGGTTCCCTGAAGATCTTCTGGTGATCGACATGAGCGAACTCCTTCTTGCCGATGGTGAGTACCACGCGCTGGTCGGCCCCTCGGAACTGGAGCTTACATGAGTCCGCACTGTTGCCGTTCTGCATCCGAAACGCTGTCAAATCTTCTGTCACTTTCTGTTGGAAGAATGTGGATAATATATATTTGAATGTGGATTTATGGGAATATTTTCTTTGCTTTGTTTTATTAGTACATTACTGCAGCGACCAGCATCTGAGATATTGATGGACGAACGTGCAAATGTAGGCCGAGACGTAGCCGAGGCACACATACGTGAGTTCATCAATGCCGAGTTGTGGCCAAGGCTTGTATAGTACTTTTCTCAAACAATGCGCGGAAATCAAAAACACAATTTTACTTTTTAAGTTCAATGACGAATAACGAATAATAATAATTTTTCATGCGCCATAATGTTCCTTTTTTTTTAATAAATAGCTTTCTATTTGCAAGCCAGTTCGAAATTTAAATATAACATTTTATTAGTTACCTCCTTGGTAGCCATGTTTCGAAGTAAAAGGTCATTATATTTTTAAATTACAGGACAGATATGAGTTTACATAGTAATTTATCTGGCCGCAAAACATGACAGATATGGATTTTCATACAACTTTTGCCGGCCGCTGCCCGCATGTATCTGGCCAGTACGGCAATTTTGATTTATCTCGAAGAAGATTGTCAAAATAATACTCACATTTCCAAGCATGTTTGAGAAAAATAAATATAACTATATCTATCTAGGATGTAGCCATCCCCTTATCGCCCATTAAAAAAAACCCAGAACAAGGGCTTACGATGTATTCCATTACCTTAACCACACCGCCCGTGTCAGTCCTGAAGTTGAAGTCGCCGAATATGAAGTAGGGGGCGGCGTTGACGTCCGAGTGTAGGTGGCGCAGCGTGTGCCGCAACGCGCGCCGCCGACTCCGGCAGTACACCTGCATCATGAATTAGTGTACAGTGGGGGGGGGGGGGGATTGTTAATAATACGGGCTCCTTATCCCACTGCTAACAATATATCCTGTCACGTCAACCGTCACGTAATCCTCGCTGGATACCATCGTGCTGAATTCCAGGTGTATTCATCACGATGGCCTCACGTGCCTTTTCAGGGGGGGGGAGGGGATTGTTATAAACCTACCTACCGTCCTACCAGTCCTTTTGCTAACAATATACCCTGTCAGGTCGACCACAACGTGCTCCCTCCTGGATACCATCGTGATGATTTCCAGGCGTATTCATCACGATGGGCTAACTGACCTGCCCTTTCATTCTCACCTACCATCCCTCACTTTTTGGATAATAGACTTTTAACATATTCGTTACTAGGCGTTTCCCACTTAGTAGTTCCAGCTGTATTGTAGTTTCAGCCAATTTAATTGATCGGTCATTTTATATGTGATTCTTTAGATTGATATAACTTTTTCATTTATGAACCGATTGAAATAAAATAAACACTAAATGTTAAGTAGAATAAACCACAATGAATTATTGAAAACTGCATTCAAATTGATTAAGCCATTTCTGAGATTAGCGTGCACAAACGTACAGACAGACGAAAATTCTAAAAATCATAATACATGAGATTCTATTGCTTTCAAAAAGCCCCCTATAATAGTTTTTCCTATATATCTTCCATGTACAGACAGGGACCAGTTACGATTTTATTATATGTATTGATAAACTATAACAATGTAATTTTTGTGTACAATAAAGCGAATTTACTGTGTACAGAGGAATAACATCTGAGTCCTCAGGAATGGCAACGCATGGGGGGTATCATTGGCGAAACAGTATACTCTGTTATGTCCATGGTACTGTTCATGTCTATAGGCGACGGTTACCACTTTCCATCAGGTGGGCCGTCAGCTTGTTTGCCATTCTAAGTTGCATAAAAAAAAAATAAAGGACAGAAATCAAACATCAAAAATCTATATTGACGAGTCTATGGTTGTTGACTATAGTTACAATGTTATCTAGTACATATTTACACATTCATTATTATGGTTAATTCACTAACCACTATCTGGCCTGCGGCGTGTGAATTGAACATATGGCGGTCCTCTACCTCCCTATTATGATGGCGAGACAGAGACGCCATGTGCACAATACATGTCAAACCCTTATCGCACGTCTGCATTTACAACCTAATTTAAGCCCCTGTACTATGATTTCAACGAAGCTGGGGCAGTGTTTCTCAAACTTTCTATCGTAAAATCATGGGGTCACAGTTTAATTTAAATTTAGTTATTTTTCATTTTGTTAGTAATAGACTTATGTTAGTAAATAAGGTTAGAAGTTATTAGACCATATATAAATAGACCATATAGATAAGAGGCATCCCGTCAGGACAGCAACGCACCAGGGAAAACTAAATAATGTCGCCATCAACAGCCCTTAACTATCTACTGCTGAACATAAGCCTCCCCCTGGGGGTTTTGCCAGTAGTTGCTACACTTAGCAGACGAATTAGCAACCGCAGTTAGGCTGGGGGGAAAAGGATTATTAGTAATGAAGACTGAGAATCCCATTGCTAGCAATATACACAACCAGGTCGGCCTCCTCGTGGTTCTCCCTGGAAACTATCATGGTTAATTCCTGATGAATTCATTATGATGGGCTAACTGGCCTGTTTTCATTCTCATCTATCACCCTTCACTGGTGCTCCGCCAGCGTATCCCGTCAGCGCAGGCGGGGTTACCATTCCATTTTCACCCATAAAAAAAACTGCAGTTAGGCTTAAGATATGTTTTAAGAGGGAAGTTTACTGCCCATCCCTAGCCCTCCCTTGGTCGACTCTTACGACACCCATAGGATGGGAAAGGGTTGCAAATTCTATGCCGGGACCACACGGCAAATGATTATCAAATAATTAATTATTAATGTTTTATGTGACCCCAAAAAAATAGATACTACAAGTAATTTAGTATTACTATATTCTGGCTATATAAGGCATTTTTTTTTTTTAGTATTAATTAATAATTATTCTTGTTAGTGTTGATATCACTGAGGCTACTGATATTCTACAATGAAATGCAATTCCAAAATGACATAAATTCCATGTGTACGATAAAACAGATAAATGTACTAAAAATGACGTTTAATTATGAGTAAAACGACAAGTTAATGAACAAAAGTATTTTTTTTTAAATAGTTTCTTTTGTGAGTTTAACATCAAATTCGTGTTTAGTTCGTATTTCAAACTTCATAAACTCGTGGTAGACAACCTGAGGGCCTACTACGAAATATTTTCCGAAATTTCGGGGACGAACGAAATAGAAATTTGATGTTAAAATTACATAATACATGCCATTTAAAATTATTAAAAAATATTATAATATCGTTCCTCTGGACTATTATTAGGATTGGATTTATGATGAATGAAACGTTAAGCTCCATTTACTGGATCGATTTAGGTACGAACAAAAACACGAAATTGAGCCCGAAAATTCGGAATTTCATTTCATGGTAGGCCCCCTGGTTGCGTTTCACAACGTAAGAAGTTATCAATGAGCCTTAAACATATTCTAATACGGTTGAATCTTGCCTGTAATCTATACTAACCATAAATATTACGAAGTATGCAAGTCGGTATTACGAAAATAGACAAAATTATACCAACTGATGGGAAGGGCTCCATTGCGAGAAGGTTTGACGCGTCGTGAAACAGATGTATGTTGACGAACTCAACGGCAGTGCCGCGGATCATCCAACGCGTTCGCAGTATACCTTTGCGGGACCACTTGCACTGGAAAACAGTATTATTATTTAATAATAGCAAGCTTAGTAGATAAATCGCGCTTGAGGTTTGACAACCACTGATCAAAACTGCAAAGCTGTTTCTACATATGTTACATTCGATTTTTCAACTATCACCATTTCACAAACTATCAAGTTAATGAACATTATTGATGGAAAGAATCGGAGTCAATCTGAATTGAACATACAACCATTGAGATATTGTTGATTAAAGTTAGTAATAATACCCGGCGTATTCCCATCATCGCGTGTTTTGCAATCAATTTCATTTCAATACTGGACCCAATACTGGACGATAAATGAGGATCCGAACTTAATTCTCGGATGTGACAATTCGAACTTTTATAATTTACCTCAGATCTAAATGTTCTAAGTTGTTCCTCCAAATATCCATTATCTCTTCTCGAATTTAATAATTTATTCAACAAACACAATTACACTTACAAAGAAGGTTCATACAGAGTAACATAAGGTGTAAAGGAGGCAAATAATGTTTGTCAAAATTGTCCCATTCAGCGATATACTGAAGCCGAGAAGCTACAGCGTTAATTTTCAGTGGAAACCCGTCGAGTAGGATTTAAAGACCAAATGAGGAAATCGTGTAGCACATTTATTACGTAAACTAAAATAGGGAACAAATTGACGACAGACGAAATGGAAAGTAGTAACCGTCTATAAGCATGAACACCATGGATATCACAGAATACCTTCATGCGTTGTCTTTTCTGGGGATAACAATTTTATGTCTTCGTACACTGTAATTTTTTTTTTTATGCAACTTAGAATGATAAACAAGCTGACGGCCCACCTGATGAAAAGTGGTAACCGTCGCCTATTGACATGAACAGTACCATAGACATAACAGAGTATACTGTTTCGCCCATGATGCCTCCCATGCGTTGCCATTCCTGAGGACTCAGGTGTTATTCCTCTGTACCCTGTAAATTCACTGCCATATCCCAGCAACACAGCCATGCCGACACAACTGCTTCACGATAGAAACACGAATGGGACAGAGGTGCCAAGCAAACGACTTTTGTATAGTCTCCCTCGGGTAAAATTCTAAATACTGTATTTTTTTTTTACACGACTTAGAATAGCAAACAAGCTAACGGCCCACCTAATGGAAAGTGGTAACCGTCGCCTATAGACATGAGAAGTACCATGGACATAACAGAGTATACTGTTTCGGCATTAATGAATTTCATTGCCATAGATACTCTTCAAACTTAAAAACAGCTAAGCACATCTGCTTTATGACAGAGTGCCTATATCCCAAGATGTTTATTTTTTCAAGCAGATGATTTTTGTAATCTCCCTCTGGTATAACAAAAGTACATACCTCAGGAAAGAAATGTTGCGGAAACTTTGCTTTCTCCTTGGTGGTGACCTTCTCGATGTTTCCGCTATGGATCTCCTTGCCTTGCACGTCTACATACGCCTTCAGATCGAAGTCCCAGATCTTTAGGTCAGTCAGCGAAGAGTGAGCGAAGTACATATTGCCAAGGGCCTATGTGTAAAAACAGGTTTTTTTTTTAATACGAAATCATTAAAATCCTTTTTGGGTATGATCGACCAGTGAAAAATGGGTCGAAAAGCGACAAAAAAAAATATTATGGGATGAAAATGGAATAACAACCCTGATTGCGCTATTAGTATACGCTGGCGGGGCACCAGTGAATGATTATAGACAAGCATGGATTCGAAAATGAAGATGAATCGAGAAAATAAAAAAAAATCACATATATACATGAACCCGGAAAACATTATTCTCCTTTTTTAGGACAGTCGTGCAAAAATAGGTAATTTTAAAGTCATTTCACAGGTCGCGATCACAAAGTGATTAAATAGTAAGGTATTTTTAGTCGCAGACGTCACCTTGCTGAGGAGGAGGCCAGGGGGGAGGGGTTGTTAGTAATGGGGACGCTGTTAAATTGGACAAAAGGAATTAAGGTTGACGTCACTGGAATTGAACTAGTGACCTTTCGCGTCGCTGCCATTGCGTCAATTATGAGTGATCATGTCGCAACTCTTTAGTGGCAACACCTTCTGTGTTACATATAAAGTCATATACGAGGTTTGTCCGGAAAGTACGTATAAAAGTTTTTTAAAAATTTTATTTTACAATTATTCAGGTAAATCAATTTTATCCCCTTCAAAGTACTCCCCCTGTGACATAATGCACTTGTGCCAACGCCGTTTCCACTGTGAGAAGGCTCCTTGAAAGTCCTCTGGTTGTAGGTTTCTCAGCTGCCCCGTCGTAGCTTTTTTTATCTCATTTATGTCCCCCAAATGCCGCCCCCGAAGTACCAATTTGGTTTTTGGGAACAAGAAGAAGTCACACGGGGCCAAATCCGGCGAATAGGGGGGTGTTCGGTCACCGTAATGGAATTTTTACTCAAAAACTCACGGACAACAAGAGAGGTGTGGGCAGGGGCATTGTCGTGGTGAAGAATCCAACGCCCCTCTCGCGCCAATTCTGGACGAACTCGTGCCACACGAGCTTTGAGGCGTCTGAGCACATCGACGTAGAATTTTCCATCAACTGTCTGGCCTGGAGGGACGAATTCTTGATGGACAATCGAACATCGAAAAAAACAATCAACATTGTCTTGACATTTGAGCGGGATTTTCTTGATTTTTTTGTTCGTGGTTCCCCGGATGTCTTATCGAATTAGATCGGCAAAAATTTCACGGCCATTCTTGCCGAGTTTCGAGAGAAACTTGATTACGACGCGCTGCTCTTCAACGGAAGCGGGCTCCATGCCGACGGGGTTTCGTTAAGAGGTAACTTCACAGATGGCGTGACAAGCCAGTTCGCACCGCACGGCGGTCAGACCAGAACTGAAGCATTGTTAGGGACATAAGGAAGGGGTCCTGCGCTTACCTGGCCTCCCCACTCCTCTTTCTCGCATTCCAGAACACTTTTATACGAACTTTCCGGACAGACCTCGTATGCATAATTTAATCCAAAAATTACTAAATTAAAATGGAATTTCTTACTAATATTATAAAAATAGATAAGTTTGTTAGCTATTAAATCTTCCAATAAAACTATGAATAGAGACGTTTATTAATAACATGCAATTTTAAGTGATTAATAGTGTTTCTTGATATTTTAGCTAAACAGTTATATTATATTTAAAATTTTTGTTTATTTTTATACAATCTCTATATAAAAACGGGTGATTAATGGATTCACTGTGTTTTTGTCGTATTTGACAATTGTTTCGACTTTATCCGAAAGTCTTCTTCAGGGCGTTTAGAGCTGGTACGAGGCAAGACCAGAGGGAGACTTTGTACAAAAGTTGATCGCCTGGGTATCTCTGTTCCATTCGTGTTTCAACCGTGAAGCAGTTGTGTTTGCATGGCTGTGTTTCGGTTTGAAGGATGAGATATGGCGTGAATTTACTTGCTACGGAGGAATGACACCTGATTCCTCAGAAATGGCAACGCATGGGGGGTATCATGGGCGAAACAGTATACTCTGTTATGTCCATGGTACTGCTCATGTCTATAGGCGACGGTTACCACTTTCCATCAGGTGGACCATCAGCTTGTTTGCCATTCTAAGTTGTATAAAAAAAAGCTCATTCATCTCTCGTATTTATATAAACATTAGAGTTATATGTATGTATGTACAATAAGATTTTCATGAATAATATGGGCTGTATTTAGCATGGAAGTCAATATGCAGTCATATGACGAAATCACGGGTAAAAACTAATGGGTATTTATTTTATGGATTTAGGTATGCGAAAGAACAAAAATGTATATACCCTGAAAGTGAATCAAGAAGTTAAAGTCATGCACACTTTATAATAATGTGAAGAGCACAGGCAGTACCCTTAGCTGGGAGGAAAAATAAACTTTGGGCCAAAGCTTTTTAGAAGTGGCGGTCAAGAGAAGCCAGAGAACACTTGGTAGATTACCAAACCATCCTTATAAGAGAATTGTTAGTAATCAGGTTAGTCCCCAATGCTAATACTATATCCTGCCTGTCAGATCCATCTCTACGCGGTTTCTCCTGGAAACCATTATGACTATTTCCTTGTGAATTGATCACGATGGGTCAACTGACCCGCTTTTATCCTCTAGTACCTCGCCAGTGTATACCGTTAGCGCAGGCGGGTTAACTATTTCATTATCAACCGTTAAAATAAAAACAACCTTATGATCAGATGACATAATGCAAATAACGGCAAAGCAGTGGATAATCTTAGCACAGAACTATTATAAGTGGCGCAACAAAGAGATCTAATTCCAGCAGTGTGTTGGTGTGAGCTGATATGAAATATATCAATTCCCAAGGAATTCCTTGTGAATTGATCACGATGGGTCAACTGATCCGCTTTTATCCTCATCTATCATCTCTCACTGGTTCCTTGCCAGAATATACCATTTGTGCAGGCAGGATAACTATTCCATTATCAACCGTTAAAATAAAAACAACCTTATGATCAGATGACATAATGCAAATAACGGCAAAGCAGTGGATAATCTTAGCACAGAACTATTATAAGTGGCGCAACAAAGAGATCTAATTCCAGCAGTGTGTTGGTGTGAGCTGATTTGAAATATAACTCACCGTGAACTTCTCCGGCGAGCTGAAGTCCTCGTCTAGGAACGTTCTGATCTTATCAAAAAGCCGCAGCTCCGGACATTCGCAGAGTCTTTGAACGAAGTCTTGAACATACTGCATCGACTTCTCGTACGCTTTCCCACCGACCTCTTGCAGGTGGAGCGCTATGAACTTAGGGTCCATCCGGGAGACGGCTTGTAGAAACTCTGATGTCCAGATCGGGAGCATTACTGAAGGCTGATGGAGAGAATGAAACTTCTTTAGCTCACATACTTGTGACTTAACAAGGCTTTATATATATATATATATATATATATATATATATATATATATATATATATATATATATATATATATATATATATATATATATATATATATATATATATATATATATATATATATATATATATATATATATATATATATATATATATATATATATATATATATATATATATATATATATATATATCAGTGGAAGGCCTTTAAAAAATATAAATAATTCTTATACATAAAATAAATACTTGTTGGAATAAAAACTTTTTTGTAATATTTTAAACAGGCATAAATAACAAGTATACATTACACACTACTATTGAGAATGCACCAATAAACGACAGGATATTTCGTAAATATCCTATATCGTATTACAAGACGTATTAACATGTAGATTTTGCTTCGCAACAAGCAGGTTTTTGCTCCGTAAAGAAAAAAGACAGTGTCAATTATAACAATATTAAAAAAGGGTCAAAACTATTTTTCTGTTACGCCTTGACCAAATAATTTTAATTATTCCTCTCTATCCTAAGGTTGCTCAAAAGAGATCGCTATTTAGTGATAAGGCTGACAATTTTTGCCTCTTTACCTTGCTATTTAAAGATAAAGCCGCCTCTTGATATTTCTTTTATATAATTAAGTATATATTTTTTGTGTGCATACTGTTATTCTTTATAATCTGTATTATTCTTTGAAGGAATCAACAAAAAAAATCCATTTATTCATTCAAAACGGTAGTAAACCCTATCGACGGCAAAAATGTTTGTGAGTACCGGTTCAGAATTGACGTCCTAATCGTGTAATAGAATCGTAAAAAAAAAAAAAACTTAAAAACAACGTACGTAAGTACATTATTTTTACTACTAGTGGACGTGACTAAATTATATAAACAACTGGACTGTTAAGTTTCCTAATTATATTCGCAAGCTTTTGGAATGTTTTTTGGAATTGTCGTCATACAGCGCACCATAATCATACTAATGACAATGGCCTACATGGACGCGAGACATTATTGTGAATAGAAAAAAAATCCAGTTATGTTTGCCTCGTCTTCCCACGTCGACAACACATACAACATATTTATTTATTTATACTTTATTGCACCATTTATAAAATAGCAAACATTTAATTGTAGGTAATAAGAAATTATACAAAAGGCGGCCTTATCGCTAAGCAATCCCTTCCAAACAACCTTTGAGTAGAGGACATTGAGAAAAGAAAGAAAAACAAAGGGTAGGGGGCGCACTATTATATATAAACAAATATATACAAAGATATATACATATATATGCATACATATATATATATACATAAACAAATACATACATAAACAAATACATACATAAACATACAACCTTTTTAACAATGTTTTCTACCCAAAGATTCTCTGAAAGAGATTGCTTAGCGATATGAGGGCTTTTGTATCACTTCTTATTAAAATTTACTATATTTATTATTTTTAATTAGTATATTTATGGATGATAATGGTTACCCCGTCTGCGCTATCGATATACTCGTACACAGGCGGGGCACCAGTGGGGGATGACAGGTGAGAATGAAAGGGCAGGTCAGTTAGCACATCGTGACGAATTCAATAATAATTTCAAAGGGGAACCGCGTGAAAGTCGACCTGATAAGATATATTGATAGCAATGTAGAGTAACCTCCCCATTACTAACAATCCCTTCCCCCTACACATGTACTAGGTTATACCGATAACACAAGCGGAATTACCTTCCTTTTCAATCCTTTATAATCGGGGGGAAAGGGATTGTTAGTAATAGAGACTGAGAATCACATTGCTAGCAATATACCCAACCAGGTCGACCTCCTCGCGGTTCTCCCTGGAAACTATCATGGTTATTTCCTGATGAATTCATCATGATGAGCTAACTGGCCTGTTTTCATTCTCATCAATCACCCTTCACTGGTGCTCCGCTAGCGTATCCCGTTAGTGCACGCGGGGTTACTATACCATTTTTACCCATAAAAAAATAACCTTTATAATTCCATAAAAAATTCTCTCTTTTAATAAACTGGGTAAACAGTGTCGTAAAGTGGGCAATGCGATACCAACCATATACAATAGGTACTATATTCTCTACAGTATATTTTGAAGTACGTTATACTACCGTCGCAGAGTTAATAATACACTAAAACAGTTTCAGAAATAGACTTGGCAACGGCAAATTAATTCATACAACGACATTGCATTCACTGTGTTTCTATCATTTATCTTCATTTATACTAAGACTTCGCGGACTTCGTGTTTACAGCTACTATCACTAATGTGAGGTGTAAAAAGCCATTTCTACTATATACTCGTATAGGAGGAGGAATTCACGCACTTTGCTTGAGGCCTTTTTCCAATAGGTGGAAATGGAATGATATCCCTGCCTGCGCATATATGGTGACTGGAAGCCACCAATGAGTGATAATAGGTGAGGATGAAAGCAAATCAGATGATTAATTAACAATTTTTACATTGAAACTTTAAGAAAAGATCTTGAACCTTCTTATAAGACCAGTAATGCACCTGCAATTTCTCTAACGTTGCAGGTGCCTATAAACAGTGGTAATCACTTACTATTAAGTGAGCCACAGGCTCGTTTACTTCCTATGTTATAATCAAAACCTTTCACTAGAAAAATATTATTCAAAGTTGCCGTCTATGTCTGTCTATTTATCAACTTATTTATTTATATTTTATTGTACACAAAAATTACATAGTTAAAGTCTATATTAAATGAAAATGTAAAACAGGCAAGCTTAACTCTGTAAGAGTTCCCTTCCAGCAAACCCTGAGTTGAAAGGAGCCATAATTACCAGCTGACAGTGTGCATACAATAAGTACAGTAAGTAAATACAGTACTAGTAATTACTATTAATATATATTTATTATTTCTTAGTACTACTTTTATATATATATATATATATATATATATATATTTTTAATTCTTCTTTATTTTGTTGCCACTACTGCTGACCTCTAAACCATGCAACAGCTGTACATGAGTTTCATTGTTATTCATAGATATTTTTTTTATGAAAAGTTTATACACTGTACAATTTATATCTCTATTAAGCTGAGATGATTTGCTAATTTTTAATATTAGTGTATTATTTATTTTTACAGTTATTGAAGTTTTCCAGTCAAGAGAGCAATAAAATTTAATCTGAGATCACATTGGTGACCACTGATTACAATTCTAAAACAGAACCATCTTCTTTTTGAAGTTAGCTGATAAATTTGCAGAATGCTTGACTGATAGAGAACACCCTCCAGTGTTAAATCCACCAAGTGCACATAGAATTTTATTGGACATTAATGTTTAAACAAATAAATGATGTCAATGAACCATATTATATGTTAATGTTTATTTGATTGTTAATTATTGATGGACTAGTTCATATTTCTTGCATTATCTAATAGGGCTATCAGTCTATGACCAAATAGTTGTGCAGGAAATTATGCTCTAATAATAAATTTTAATCCTATTATTGTAATATTATAAATATGATTTTGTAAAGATATTTGGATTATTGCATTTGTTACTTAATCACATAACAACTAATTAATTGGAGCGTAGAGTATACTAAAAGGAAAAATAGAGGGCAAAATAGGAAGGGGAATACCCGGAAAATATTTACATGGGACAGATAAAGGACAGATTAGGTGCCATATGCCACAATATTATCATATTGTGGTACATGGTCTGGGGTAGAATAGGTTGGAGGAAAATACATAAATTAGTTGCACCAACAAGAGGAAACCCTTAATTAAAACAATAAAGCTTAAAAGGATTTTTTTTTATGGGTGAGAATGGAATGGTAACCCCTCCTGCACTAATAGTATATGCTGGCACCAATAAGAGATGTTAGGACAAAAACAGGTCAGTTACCCCATTGTGATGGAAACCAAAATTAACCATGACTATTTTCTATAGGAACTATGTTAGTTAGCCCATTGTGATGGAATCACAACTAACCATGATAGTTTTCTGGGAGAACCATATGGAAGTTGACCTGATATATATCTAGCTAGGGTATATTTCTAGCAATTGAGCTGTTAAACCCCATAACTAATCTCTTTCCCCACGATACATGGGTAGGATATATTATAAGATTTTATAAGAGTGACCAATATTTTTGAGGGATGGAATATTTGGAAACAGCTCAGATAATATTATACTTAATGGGTACTGGTGACCCCACTGCTAGTTAGTATAACTTCTATGCAATCTTCCTAGATACTATCATAGATAATTTGTGGTTAACTCATCTTGATAGGGCAATAAACCTAACTTAATTTTCATTAATTTCCCTCACGGGTACCGTACCAATATAGCTAACTCTCCACCAGGCCTACCATAGCATTTCTTATTTTTCAAACCATTTAAAAAAAATATTACCAAGAAAAAAAATTAAGTATCTACTTGAATATGTCAAAATGGATAATTATATTTTATATAATTAAATAAAGATAAAAAATATTTAATATTATGTTTATAATAAGAAACTTCTTATAAAAAAAGGACTCAGAAGCGAGTTGCTTCCGAGTCCTTTTTTCCAAGAAACAAGGAAGAGATTCTCAATTTATTCTGAACAGTTTTTTTTTTAATTCTTTAGGATATATAGCTTTTGTCATGTATTAATTATCTTGAACAAAACTTAGTATATATTTAATGTAGACACAACAAATATCAAAATAGTATTATAATCCAGTTTCTAAGTGATATGTTTAAATTATAATTAGCATTTTATCAACTGCAGGCGTAATAAACAAATCACTGGTTTGAAATTAGAACACTTATCATGTTTATGCTTCATAGAACAATTTAATTAACAGGTAGGTAACACAATGCTATCAATAATTTTATTTAAAACCGAAACGTTTCTATATCTGAAATTACTTACTTCCTCAAATATAGATCCAACATTTGCAGTCACAAGTAACAACGGCACTTTATCCGATCCCATTTTTTTGAACTTCAACATGATCCTAGAGCGATATTTAGGCGAAAAATAATCAAGCCACTACTACGAGGTTAAACGTTCAGACAGCGTATTTTCGCTGTTTTGGCGCGCTAACGCCCTATCTGGTGTACCTATGATTACATTATTATAGATACGGTTGTTAGTTTCCTTCGTAAATTCGTACGAAATCGCAAAATCGCTTCGCCCGTATCCCGTCCGTAGCCCTTTTTGACATTTGTCAATGAATGAGTGACATATTTTTACACCCACTACCGCGCATCTAAACAGCCGATTAACCAACCTATTTAGGTTGTCATTTACTTTTGTAAAACTGCAAAAAATTATTATCAAAAGTGAAAAAACAAATATCATAAATATTTTTTTTTACTTTATTAGCACAGTATAAAATATTTGTTTTATTTTTTATTCGGTTTGTTAAGTAATTATTTTTGCTATATGAAAAAAGTTTTGAAATCCATAATAAACGACGATAGTGAAACGAAACGCAGGTTCAATATACAGGACGTCGGTACTTGGTTGGATTTTAACCAATGACGTCTTTGTAATTTTACGTCACGCCCTGTTTTCAGGGACGAACTCAATTATTTTTAACGTTGTATACAGAAATAAAGGAGGCGTTAATTGGTAGCAATAAATTTACGGTGCAAAGAATAGATTTTTATTTTATTTTATAAGATGTATTGTTTGGCACTGTAACAGTAACATTGAAACTAAAGAATATATATAATCTAAGAATATTTTACTTGGGAAAAATTTGCTTTAATATAAAGGCCTTAATAGGTAAAAAGTATTAATTAACAAGTAAAAAAAATTAAGAGTTTTATTGTAATACAAATAATTATTAAAATTCAGTTTTTAGGTAACCAATCAAAAGGTATTAAAATTTATTAAACTTATCTATTTATTTCGAAAAAAAAAATTAAGTTACCGTATTTTTAGATTAACTTAGTATTGCTTCAGTAAGGTGTACCATAAATTTACTTTAGATAACATGAAAATTCCTTCATCCCTCTCTGTTTGCTATGGGCGTTCCTTTTACTGCACATGTGCGATACGTATTCAGTTCATAACCTTTGGTAGATACATAGTTAAAATAGAAATCGATCGTTTTGTTTCTATTCTTGTGAATTAGGTCGGACTTTTTCATTATAGCACGTGCTCAGAGCGTTTTTTGAGATCTATGAAGTCAGTCATGTAAGCGTATAGATAAGAAATGTACGTTTCTTTTCTATGTATCCGCACAATATTTACAGCTCATTTATTATCTTTAGAGCTCGTTCAATAAACAAGTATCAAGATTGTTTATTACGTTATGTTCTTTAATTTGAACTTTTTTTTGTTTTGTTTACATTTTATTTAATGAAAGGTTTTTAAATTTTAGATTTAGAAAATGAAGACGCAAATATTAATTACCGTGGTTGGGTTGTTATTAGCAACGGCATCATCGATGCATATACACAATGCTGTGGAAACTGAGATGTTTGCTATACCAATCAGTCCTAATTTGTTTAACTGGACATATCAAGGTACGTAAAATATTTTGAGTATTGCTTTCTCATACCTCTGATAAAATATGTGCCTTACACTATTTTTATTTAATATTTTCATATTATAGTTTTATTTATAATACAAATAGTATAAAATAAAATATCTGAAAATAAACATGTTATGTTTAAAACACTGGAATTTACTAAGCGCCTAATCTAAATTTATCATAACTAATTAGAGTAACGAAATTATTAGAACATTTTCATATAAAACGTTTACTTAATACATTCCTGTACAAATGTGTTAAGGTACTATTAAAATGTGGAATGTAAATACTTACCTACTTATACAAATAATTTTGGTCCTTGAAATAAATTCGTATGGTCGTTACTGTGTAGTAAGATCGTATGATTTTGTTTCAAATATATTTAACTAGCGATATATGTAAATAAGCCATTTTTTCCCCTAAAACGTAAAGTATAAAAAATGGTTTTTATGGGTTATTTATAAGAGATACACATATACCATCGCGGACTTTTTTGTTGACCTTTTTAAGGTGTACAATACTGTAATACATTATTTTGATTTATCTCGTGGGGTTCAGCCAGCGTTTGCAATGTAAGCGCAAAAAATGTGTTTATTTACGACATCACATTAGAAACCTCTAAATTTATCAGTGTTTCTCTGCAATATTAAACATGTATTATACATATAAATTTTCCTCTTGAATCACTCTATCTATTAAAAAAAAACCGCTTCAAAATCCGTTGTGTAGTTTTAAAGATTTAAGCATACATAGGGAACGGACAGACAGCGACAGCGACTTTGTTTTATACTATATAGTGATGATATACCTACTGTTTATCTAAATATTGTCCAACAAAAACTCTACGTAAGTAATTAAATGGGGTGTTTGGTCAATATACTAACGCTTATTTGTAATTTTATGTGCCAGTATCTATAAATTATTACAATGAAGTTTACTATTAAAACATGTTTTATTTATAATAACATTGATTTTATTTTATCTATGCATAAACAGATGTTAGACACGTTCTAGTAGTAGATGTCTAAACATTTATATTTTTTTTTAAAATAATGATAATGAAATGGTAACCTCGCCTGCGCTAACGGTATACGCTGGTGGGGCACCAGTGATAGATGACTGATGAGGATGAAAGCAGGACAGTTAGCCCATCGTGACGAACTGGACTAGAATTAGCCACGATGGTTTCCAGGGGGAACCACGTGGAGGTCGACCTGACAGGATATATTGTTAGTAATGGGGTTAAATAACCCCATTACTAACAATATAATCCCTTTCCCCCCTCTAAACATCTATTGGAAACTTGTTCATTATAAGTTTAATTTTTTTGTGGTAAAATGTATATCATTGTATCATATACCAGAGGGAGACTTTGTACAAAAGTCGATCGCTTGGGTACCTCTGTCCCATTCGTGTTTCAACCGTGAAGCAGTTGTGTTTGCATGGCTGTGTTTCGGTTTGAAGAGTGGGATATGGCGTGAATTTACTGGGTACAGAGGAATAACATCTGAGTCCTCAGGAATGGCAACGCATCGGGGGGTATCATGGGCGTAACAGTATACTCTGTTAAGTCCATGGTACTGCTCATGTCTATAGGCGACGGTTACCACTTTCCATCAGGTGGGCCGTCAACTTGTTTGCCATTCAAAGTTGTATAAAAAAAAATCTGGGTTTACACCTTAAACCAACATAATACAAGTCTTATTTCTAGTAAAATTATTAGATGAGATTCGTTATCTTATGAAATACAAGAAAATATTCATAATAATAAGACAGTTGAATTTTTTTTTGTCATTTAAGAGTTTCCTCTTGTCGGTGCAACTAATTCATGCATCTTCTTCCAGCCAGCTCTATCCCAGGCCATATCCCTGACCTCCCTATACGACATGACTACCAGGTGTATTTCTTTTATCTGTCCCATGTAGTTATTCCTCGGTCTTCCTCTTCCTCTATTGCCCTCTATCTTTCCTTCTACTATGCTCTTAAAAAAATCGTCATGTCGTATAAAGTGGCTTAGCATTTTGCCTCTTCTATTCTCTATTATTTTAATTAATGAATTACAACAACTAATATTTATACTGTTTGGTGAAAATTTTACAATGAACGTTCTTAACAACAGAATAAATTGGCTCAACTGAGAATCAAACTTAATAACTCATTGCACAACATTTACTTATCACTGCTAAGTGGACATGAACAATTATGATTTTAATTATATTTACCAATTATTTATATTATTTATATTTATATTTCATTATAATTTCCCAAAGAGGGTTGACGTCAGGCAGGCACCCGGTCATAAAACTAAAAGCCAAATCTTTTTGTAATATGGATAAAAACTTATTACGCTGACCCCAAACAATAATTGGGATAAGGGTAGGAAGATGATGATGATGATTATATTTACCAATAAATTTGTAATATTCTTTACAGAATTCGACCAGCAATATCGTTTTCACGCGTCACTAAAAGGCAAGCCCGAGTTGCCGTCGTGGCTTCGGTATATATACAGCGGAAGACACCATTCAGGTTTCATATTTGGTACGCCACCGAGAGGAACTAAGAAACCAATTATGGTAAATAACATTAAAAAAGTATCACTTCTGCTTAAAGAATATGTTATCTGTTATGTCCATGGTACTGCTCATGTCTATAGGCGACGGTTATCACTTTCCATCAGGTAGGCCGTCAGCTTGTTTGCTATTTTAAACTGCATAAAAAAAAAACTACAATGAGAAACTTATTTAACAATTGAATCAATTACCAGAGGGAGACTTTGTACAAAAGTCGATTGCTTGGGTACCTCTGTCCCATTCGTGTTTCTACCGTGAATCAGTTGTGTTTGCATGGCTGTGTTTCGGTTTGAAGGGTGGGATATGGCGTGAATTTACTGGGTACGGAGGAATAACACCTGAGTCCTCAGGAATGGCAACGCATGGGGGGTATCATGAGCGAAACAGTATACTCTGTTATGTCCGTGGTACTGCTCATGTCTATAGGCGACGGTTACCACTTTCCATGGGGCGGGTCGTCAGCTTGTTTGTCATTCTAAGTTGTATAAAAAAAATGCTTGGCAGGCGGGTTGGTAACCATAGTTAGGCTTTTGATGATATTTTAAGAGTGTGCTGTTAATCCCTCGATCATTAAGTTCCCTTAGTCGCTTCTTACGACACCCATGAGAAAGAAAGGAGTAGCCCATTCTATGCGGGTCGACACGGTTTTGATATGCCGGTAGTCAATTTGGCATTTAACTAACGATATATCGAAGTGTTAATGAACCAAGTATCTAAGCAATATTATTTCATTACTATTATTATTCTCAATTTTAGCTAGAGGTAATAGGTCTGAACCGCCAAGACTATGAGACACGCCGTGTTCTTATAACTCTAAAGGTACAGCCAAAGGAGAAAATGGCGCGGCATGAAGTTGAACTTAAAATAGATAATCTCAATGTTGAAGACCTGCTTGATGAGCACAGGTGAGAAATATCTATACTTGTAAAAAATCTGTAGAGAGGTCAATTCTGTATATGAAATATATTTCCAAAAAAACTATCAGCGGGTGATTAGTGATCGATACTGATGCCAAAAATGCAATCAGTAAAATTTTTGTCTCTCTCTGTATGTTCGTTATAGAAACAAAAATTACTCGACGGATTTTAACGAAACTTGGTACAATTATTCTTCATACTCCTGGGCAGGTTAAAGTATACTTTTCATCACGATACGATTAATAGGAGCAGAGCAGTGAGGGGAAATGTTGGGAAAACGGGAGACGTTACTTCATTTTTAAGCTTCCGTCGCGTGTGCAGCCTTAATGGCCACTTTTTAAAATGTATAAATGTCCACCCGTGCGATGCCACCACGCACCACCCGGGCCGGTCCGCTAGTTTGAAATAAATGGAATCAATGAAATACTTTGACACCATAATGCCATATTTTTCGACTAGAATAGAACATCGAAGGAAAACCAACGAAACAACAACATTTAGAAGCACAACGAATAACAAAATCTGTGGTTTGGTTAATAACAGATACCGTAGTCAACGAATTAAGTGAAATAAAGAGAAATATAAAATTATCGCAAACTAACAAACACTAATCGATGCATTGTTTTGCATGAATGCTAATATTGTTCATGATTCCAAGGTTCGGAGTTTTTTCAGAATGTCACGTCTAAAGGATATATTACGGACGAAATTGTGGACGGAGAGCAATCAAGATTTGTACACTACGTTTCTGGCATCCGCGATCGATTTAGGTGCTAGGTTACCGCTGAAACCAGAAGACGGTGAAGGGTACGTTAAAAAAATAATACAAAAATTACAAACAAAATAACAAAAAAGTTCTAAGTTTGAATTGCATGTAAAGCAGTTAATTAAAATAAGCAAATTTTACCATAATTGTAACCAGCATAATAGTAATAGTCTTGTATCTATCATTCTCTTATGAGAAGAGATCATTATGCTGCAGCAGAAGGACGTTAATGGATTGTGGCGAAGATGGTAACAGTGAATTTTGTTATTGGCATTTATTTCTGGAGCACCAATCAAATTGGAATCGTTTTTTCCATTCCAGACTCGTTGTCCGCCTCGGAAGCTCTGTACCATTCTCTTCGGAACTAAAAAGGTTGCGAGAAGAGGTGAGGCCTTTGTCACGTCTGCCCAGTTGCCCAAGAGAATATAAAAGAACTACTGTGGAGAGATTGTTTAGAGATGCCGGGTTGACATTGGATTGGTGTAGTTTTGAGTTGGTGAGTATAATATAATGTAAATATATAAATAAACATAATAATAAACATTAATTTCACGTGATTTGTTTTAAATATTTTGCAAATTTAATATCAGTTAAGACAATATTCTAAGCTTGTATATATTCTTACCCTCTTATAAAAACGTCATACTTCTCTTAGACCTATTTTAGCTATTGAACGTTTTCTCTCCATTTTTTTTTTTATATCTACAACTTAGAATGGCAAACAAGCTGGCGGTTCACCTGGTGGAAAGTGGTAATCGTCGCCTATAGACATGAGCAGTACCATGGACATAACAGAGTATACTGTTTCGCCCATGATACCCCTCATGCGTTGCCACTCCTGAGGACCTAGGTGTTATTCCTCTATACCTTGTAAATTTACGCCCTTCAAACCGAAACACAGCCATGCAAACACAACTGCTTCACGGTTGAAACACGAATGGGACAGAGGTACCCAAGCAATCGACTTTTGTACAGTCTCCCTCTTTTTATACTACATTCCTAATTTGAAGGAAAGTTACAAAACATTGCAAGCGATATCGAACCCTAAAGTCTTAGGGGAGATTTTGCCTCACTCTGCGTGTTCTACCGCTTGTACAACGGATTGTGCTCAGAGGAATTATTCAATATGATGCCTACAGCCACTTTCTATCATCGTACGGCTCGCCATCGACAGGGAGTTCACCCTCATACGTTACAGCCTAAATGGTCGCGTACAACGCGGTTTCAAGAGATGTTTTCTCTTACGAACACTCAGATTATGGAATGAGCTCCCTGCCGAGGTTTTCCCAAGAGACTACAGCATGGGGTTCTTCAAACGGGGGGTAAAGAGGTTTCTTCAGGGTCGGCAACGCGCGCGTAATACCTCTGTGCTAGTTTGCCACCTCAGTGGTAAAAAAAAAACAGTGTAATAATTAACATAGATTTGTAGATGGCTTTAGTTTTTATGAATATAGGGGTTAATTATAAATGTCGGCGCAAAATAGAAAAAAAGACATTCTATTGACTCGAGACACAAGCGCAAAAAATGGAGGGGAGCGCTGACACAACGTTGGAGCGATAATGAAAGGAAGTGGGGCCCATAGATGATATATACATACTGAGAGTGGGGCCACATTCGTCTGTCAGACTTCGCGCGACTTCAACGGATCGTTGTGTCTCGAGTCTTAGCTGATATTATTTTAATTTAGTTCTATTTTATTTGATATTATATTATTTCTTACATTAATGAAAATGATTGTAGTTTAAAAATAAAGTGTGATCTTGTAATTGCTCTAATTATTGATTTTTTATTAGTACACGCCCACGGTAGATTAGTTTTTGTTAACCGTGTCTGAGTGGGAGGAAACAGAGCTTAGCTATGGCCATCTTCCGACATATATATAAAATTTACAATTAAGTCATAAGAACTGGGTTGAGAGATATCCGAAGACGATTCTTAAATGTTATTACAGTATTTCTTACTATAATATATCTACATATAGCATTTGTAATTCGCAGTACAACACAGTTTACAAGGATCACGCTACTGAACATCTTGAGTACCTAACTGAAATACCAAATACCAGTAAATCTGCGAAGTCGTTTAAAGCCCTGGACACACGAGATGAATGGACAGCGCCCAGCAAGCATGCGCTACCTTCACGTAGCTACACGAAACAGTTGACGGCTGCAGTGGCTATACCACTTTTGCTGTTGTTATTGTCAGTGGCCGCTTTGACCTCTGTATTGTGTTTCCATTACGCTGCTGTGTAAGTATATTAAAATAATAATAAATTAATTAAAACTAAGCCAATTTCAATTAGTTACGGTACAATACGATTAAAAAATCATTTATTTCATCAATATTTCATTACTTAAGCTGTGGACATATTTTTTTTATAGGTGAAAATGGAATGGTAACCCCGCCTGCGCTAACGGAATGCACTGGCGGAGCACCAGTGAAGGGTGATAGATGAGAATGAAAACAGGCCAGTTAGCCCGTCATGATGAATTCATCAGGAATTAACTATGATAGTTTCCAGGGGGAACCGCGAGGCGGTAGACCTGGTTGGGTATATTGCTAGCAATGGGATTCTCAGTCTCCATTACTAACAATCCTTTTCCCCCCAGCTGTGGACATATTGACAGTTATATTAGATTCCTATTATTTCACTTTCAGAAGGGATCCAGAGTCAGAGTATTTCTTAGAGAATATATTTCATATATGTATAGAATATAGAAGGAGACGAAGGTTAGCTTTATTTATCACAGCGTATTTAACATATTAATATTAATAACAAATGTTTTGTTTTCTTATTTGAACTAACATTAAAAAACTATAATCATGAAGTAACAGCTTGCGGTTTCAAGCCATGGATATTTTGTATACGTTGTCGGTGCTCTTTTTTATACAACTTAGAATGGCAAACAAGCTGACGGCCCACCTGATGGAAAGTGGTAACCGTCGCCTATGAACGCCTGCAATACCAGAGTTATTACGCGCGATTAGAGGGGATTTAATTAAAACATTTAATAATTATACCAGAGGGAGACTTTGTACAAAAGTCGATTGCTTGGGCACCTCTGTCCCATTCGTGTTTCTACCGTGAAGCAGCTGTGTTTGCATGGCTGTGTTTCGGTTTGAAAGGTGGGATATGACGTGAATTTACTGGGTACAGAGGATTAACACCTGAGTCCTCAGAAATGGCAATGCATAGGGAGTATCATGGGTGAAACGGTATACTCTGTTATGTCCATAGTACTGCTTATGTTTATTGACGACGGTTACCACTTTCCATCAGATGGATCGTCAGCTTGTTTGCCATTCTAAGTAGTATAAAAAAAATTAATAAATCAAAAATATTTTTGTGCTATTTATTCTAGAGCATACTATTTATATAGTATTATTTTTAAAATTAAAAAAAATGTATGAAGCCATTTCTGATAGAGTTAATAATCTATGTTCAGTGTTTTTTTTTTTTTTTTTTTAATAGATGATAATAGAATAGTAACCCCGCGCTAACGGTATACACTGGCGGGGCACCAGTGAGGACCACGTATCATACGTGAGAATGAAAAGGCAGGTCAGTTAGCCCATCGTGACAAATACACCTGGAATTCAACACGATTGTTTCTTAAAAGGATTAGACGAAGGTCAACCTGGCTGGATATATTGCAATATACGTAGTCATATGTAGTACTCCTTTCCCCCTTATCTATAATGTCATACCAGGTGGCATAATTGTATATTGTATTTTTAGGGCACACAAGTCCAGCAAAGTGGAACTGTGTCGGTACGGGACAGGCAACTCTGAGCAGACTCAAGTCGCCGCCGACAACACCAGTGCCAAAAGTCACGGAGTTAGGTAAATATATTAATAACTTTTTCAGAGAAAATTTAATTAAAAAAAGTAACTTAGATAAGGTAGAAAAATTAGAATAGACGTACTTAGGCAAAGGTACGCTTTTTTAAAGAAATAATGTACTTACTATTATTTCTATGAAAGAACGTACCCTTGATTACGTCTCTGTTTTATTCACAACCCATGGCATAGATAAAGAACTATTTTCTTTTAATTTATTGGGTCTTATACGAAATATTATTTGGCTAAATAAATATTTTCTTTAAATTTTTACTTATCTAACTAATGAAATTGTAAATTAACAGTAACAGGGTTCTTCTTTCTTAGCTACCGCTAGTGGAATCGTATCAGTTAAATACATAGATGTTTTGTAGGACGTTACTTTTTTTTAATGGGTGATAATGGAATGGTAAATTTGTCTGCACTATCCTTGATACGCTCGCGGGGCACCAGTGAGGGATGATAGGTGAAGATAAAAAGGCAGGTCAGTTATCCCATCGTAACAAATTCCACTAGAATTAACCACGAGGGTTTCCAGGTGGAACTGTCGACCTGATAGGGCGTATTGCTAGCAATTATAAAGTACTTATCTATATAGAAATCCCTTATCTTTATTACTCACTTGAGAACATCAGTTAAAGAATATATTTACCAAATTAATTGCAGCCCCAACAATAGTCTTGCTCGACCGTACAGCCCCAAATCAACGACCAACATTGCTGGCAGCTACAACCGTCCCCAACCGCCACCGTATATGGGCTCCACCACGAATTCACTTCACCACAGAAAATCTGGTAACATTGACAAAACTCCATCAACGAGCGGTCACACGCCTGAGCACCGCGGTCATCTTCTAGAAGAATCCTTGAAATTACTAAACGAAGCGAATATCAACTCTGAATTCGATAAACTACCGATTTTAAAAGATCCCATACTCGATTTGGCTGATGGGACCGAAGATTATGTACCTATAAAACCAGACCACACCGGTTATGTCCCGATAAAACCAGATACAGCCGGTTATGTCTCGATGAAGGCGGATTTGGATGATATAGACGTGCCAGACTTGACTAAATTTGGAATCGTTGGCCCTATTTGACATGAGGTGTCGACGGACGGAAAACCGCCCGTCAAAACGTGGTTCTGTTAAAGCTATTTGCTTATAGTTACCTAATTGTAACTTTTCGTATATCATATCAATACATACCTAGGTATATCTGTTGTACTTAGTCAATACTTAGCCAACAATTAATGTGGATAGAATTACTAAGCAACTAAACCAGAAAAAAAACTACCGAAATTTTTGAGATAAATTATGAAGGAGTGATAGTCTGCAGCAATAAAGAACTACGTGGCAAGAAGAATAACTATCGACAGAAAAAAAGGAATAAAAAATCAATAAATATGAGATATATCATTTCAACAATCATATATCTCAAATACGTAGTAAATAAAATATATAAGTAGGTAATTGTTAAATATTTATTGTCAATTATCATTACACGATTTATTAAATATATTAAGAATTTGAAATGTAGACAAGGGCCAGCGTTCGTCTGTGGTACAGATAACAGCATAAATATAATAGCCAGGGCCGGCTTTAATTCTAATTGGCACCTTCGGGCAAATTTTTCTAGACAGTACACATGATGGAAAATAGTAACTATCTGTAGAAGACATTAGAAGATTCACTTGGAGTCTTCAAACATTGCTATTTCTGAGGCCTGATTTTCAAAATTAAAGACCATGCAAGAATAACTGCTTAGTAACATGCTCGTAAACGAAGTTACAATCAACAGCAGTCATTTACTGTATCGTCAGCGAGTGTTTGCCCTTATCATACTTACATATAATAAAATATTATGTATAAATGAAAATGAACCTAGTCAACTATCTAGTCAATACTGATCGTGAATTATACAATTTTAACTATTATTTGTGACCATTGATATTCAATTAAGTAATTTAATAAAGTAGATGTTTTATATTAATATTTATTGTATTTATTTTAAATTAACTGATTACCAGACGTCGTTCTGTCAAAATTAATTTTTTTTCTTTAATCAAATTAGTCCAACCGTTTCCGAGTGATGTCAATTCGTGAATGAAATAATACAAAGAAAACAAATTATAAATACAATAGTATTTATTATAATTTACAATAACTGATTAGTTAATAATTATAATGGACAGGATCCGTTTTAGGGGGTGCACCAGCTGGGCAATTGCCCAGAGCGTCATAATGATTTCACTACAAGTTAAAATAGTCATTCAGTGTAAATGAAATTAATTGAATATTATATTTTTTTCTGAACCTGAAAGTTAGTTAGATCAGGCCCTGTTAATAAATTATTTGGGTACTTAGTTGCAACTCAAAATATTGAAAGGAAATGAAGCTATCGACAAAGTTATTTGTCATCTAATAAATAACAAATTTCTATAAAATAGACATTTAATACACGGTGCTTTGCCGCCATGTGCAATAATGGTTTTCATGCAACGTAGTACAAAACAATACTCACAGCGCAACCCTGTCGCGGTTGGTTATGATTTTTTTTTATCTATTTTTGTCACTTAAAAACTAAAGGTTAACAATAATGTATAATTTATAAACAAAGGAAATAATTAACAAATACCTATATGTGCCAGAGAACAGAACAGAAACATACCAATGACCGCAAATAAATCAAATCCAAAACACTTTGAACGGAGCTAAATTAGAAAAGTTGCCTAATAAGCTCAACCGTAACTCGGACTCATTACACGAGGTCGTTGTGACAAAAAATACATTAAAACATCATCATTATCAGAGATCTTAAAGTATTAACATGGTCAATAGCAGGGCCCGATCTAGGGGCGCTAAGCGGGCAAATGCCTAGAGCAGCAGAATTAATTTGCTGCGTGGTCATACGCAAATCTTCACTTTTGCCTGAATAGGTAAATAGATCGGTCACTGCTTACTAGCATTAATGAACAATGTCATTTAATATATATTGCAAGGGCAAGTATGTACTTTAATGAAAATTAATACTTATTATTCCAATAATACTAATTTTAATTGTAGTTACCATATTTTATATCACATTCATTCATGATAATTATTTGTAAATGTTAAATTATGGGTACATAGTGAATTTACAAATTAAATACTTATTTCTAAACACGTTTAATTCGCCTCTGGCCTGGTATATATAATAAAACTGGTAGGTACTAGAATTGCATGTAATTAAAATATAAGTGACAGCCTCCCATACTAAATTGTCAGCTGCAACTGTTGATTTTAGTGTAGCTGAATTTCTTCATGATATTACACGATATCTTTGCGAATTTTAAACCAATTTTGATGATACTATTTTTAATTAGAAAAGTTAGTTGGTTGTATTCTTGTTCATTTTTCACCAGGACATTAAAATAGGAAAAAATAAGCCTCCGATCTCTTCCTTTTAAGATAACAGATAATACATGTGTCTTTTAAAGATTTTTTTTCTATACCAAAGACAATATTGTAAGTTTAACATAATTTTTAAATTAATTAACTGAATCTTCTTTTATTTAAATTTATATAAATAAAACTATTTACAAATACTTATTACATTCTTATGAAAGATGAAAATAATTAATATCACATTAAATAATGGGCAATTATTATTATTTAAAAGTACAATTACTAATTACTAAGTAATCTTACAATTAGAGCCTTCAAGTGAACCTTATTATAAATAAAAATAATATCACATTAGTCGACTGGTTTCCAGCAAACGACTGCCCTCATGTCATCTGGTGCTTTCCCGAAGGTCCTGTCTCCATTGGGATCTACGTATTGGTTGATCTGATAGTCGAGGAGTGTTTGGAAGCCGAGCACATCGGTTCCTAATTGCTGTGGATAGAACGGTATTCCATTAAGTATTTTACATGTCTATATTATTGTTTTGATCACGAATAAAAAAGAAGGACAGTACAATGAATCAAAATTCCTACAAAATATACCTTTTTTATACCGGGACCACATGGCAATATATATATACTGACAAAATTGAGTTAAATAAATACATATATAATGTTCTATTACCAAGTATAACCAAAAAAAATTTTAGTAGCAAGAGCCTCATTACTAGCAATATAACTTTGTCGAGTCAACCTGGTAAAATCGTTATGATGGGCCATCTGACTTAACTTTATCCTCATCTAACTTTTCTTACTAGTACGTCGTCAGCGTAAACCAATAGCAATAAGGTTTGATTAAAATTTCATTTACTACCGTGGACATTATACTTGATTGCCATCTCGATTACATGAAGCTTATTATTATTTACCTGTGTAAGTGGACTAGTGTTTGTGGTGAACACGCCTTTGAACCGTCTGTCCCTCGCAATTCTCATAGTGGCATGCTCTAACGCCCGTATCGCGGCAACGTTGTCTCGCGGAGACAGTTCCGCGTTCGTGGCCATCATGAACGAATGCAGGATCGTGCCTGCAATTATTAGAGTCATTGTTAGAACAACAATTGTTAGAAGACGCTCTTCACAAAGCCGTCTGCATGAGTACTTTTGTACCATTATCGTTTCTGTCATTCTTGTTGGGCTTTTTAATTCCTCAGACCTAATTTCTGTTAAGACTATTTTATACCATTAGGATCAACAGACATGTTGACGATACATCAGATAATAAATGATAACATGCGTCTATTGATGCATGAATGAGTTACGTATAATTGAATGAATTTTATAGGAATGAATTCTTTGAAAGAACTAGTCAGTACGCACACCAGTTATTCATCTTACCTTTGCCTTCCGGTAATAACGTATCTCTCACAGAGCCCTCAACAAACTCCAAAAATCCCATTATCTTGGCAAGTCCACCGGTCAATTCAATTTCAGGTTCGTCCCGAGCGTCGAAGTTTAGAGCCACTGCCACCGGCGTGTTTGTACCTGTATCGGAAAAATTAATGTCATGAAATAAAATATCACAGTAAAAGATATCCAAATATTAGTTTTGATGGTCCGGACAAAAATATTTACTGCCCTTTGTAACAGTCAACTTCTCTTTATTTTCCTCTCTTTAGGCATTTGCCCGATTTGCATTTCCCTTAATCAGACCCTGGTAATTATCTCTGAGAGATAGAAACAAGTGGACGTGTAAGTCAAATCACAAAAAGGTATTTTAGAATTATTCTTCAAAAACACATTTTTGATGGTTCAGGGAATGACACTTGACACCAGAGGGAGACTTTGTACAAAAGTCGATTGCTTGGGTACCTCTGTCCTATTCGTGTTTCAACTGTAAAGCAGTTGTGTTTGCATAGCTGTGTTTCGGTTTGAAGGGTGGGATATGGCGTAAATTTACTGGGTACAGAGGAATAATGCTTGAGTCCTCAGGAATGGCAACGCATGGGGGGTATCATGGGCGAAATAGTATACTCTGTTATGTCCATGGTACTGCTCATGTCTATAGGCGACGGTTACCACTTTCCATCAGGTGGGCCGTCAGCTTGCTTGCCATTCTAAGTTGTATTAAAAAAAAAAAAGAATGGTTTCCGTTATCTAACTCACCATCCCTCAGCACCACACTGAGCCTGGCCCGCAGCAGTGCAGCCCAGCACGCGTCTATGCAGTGTGCGTAATCCATGGTATCAATCTCGTGTTTCAGGAACTGTTCCAACTCCGCTTTCTCATAGAATGATGATACTATCATGCTGGGAACAAATATGGTTGTTAAAGATTTGGCAATTGGACCTTATAGAAAAGTAATCAACTTTAATAAAAGACACATCCCGTCTCATTCTAAGATAAGAACTAAATAATTCTGAGGTGAGCACAGCCCATCCTTTTTTTTAAATGAATGAAGATGGAATGGTGCATCTGTCTGTGCTAACGGTTATACAATAGCGGACACCAGTGAAAAATGAAATCAGGATAGTTCGCCCATTATGGTGAATTCACTGCTCATCCTTGGACTATTATGTTCCGTTAGTCGCCTCTTATAAAAGGAACGGATGATTCAGTATATGTCCATGCAGCGATTAATTATAGGGTATTGAAGTATACTATCTTAGAGTTAGCAATGCATGGAGATATCATGGGCATTAAATTTTTTGAATTTTTTAAACCTTTTTGGAACATCATTTGAACGTCACATAGATATTACGTTCGGGTCTTAATGCGACGTAAATACAGATAAATAATACATCTATAACTACCTGATTTTTATTGCCAATGTTATTGCATAAAAAACAATAATAAGCCTTTAGAGGTTTAAGTCCAGCAGTGGACAGTTAACGTCTGATATAATAATAATAAAACCTTTAGAGGCGGCTAGGCGGGACAGATGTTCTATGGTATTCATTCCCCAAGATTATTTTGTGATATCATAACTTTCTTAAGGTTTGTTTCGCTCGAATTGTTTGATGGTCTAACTTTCTTTAAATCAATACTTAGAATAAAGACGTCAATATCATCATCATTTCAGCCTGCATCTATCCACTGCTGGATATGGGCCTTCCCAAATGACTTCCAATATGTGCGATTCTCCGATTTTCGCATTTTTTTTTGATGGGTAAAAATGGTATGGTAACCCCGCCTGCGCTAACGGGATACGTTGGCGGAGCACCAGTGAAGGGTGATAGATGAGAATGAAAACAGGCTAGTTAGCCCATCATGATGAATTCATCAGGAATTAACCATGATAGTTTCCAGGGAGAACCGCGAGGAGGTCGACCTGGTTGGGTATATTGCTAGCAATGGGATTCTCAGTCTCCATTACTAACAATCCCTTCCCCCCTACCCGATTTTCGCATTGGTGGCCATAGGTTAATTTTTGAAATAAAGACATACTTACTCGATAACCTGCTGTTTGTCCTCATCCTTCATGAGCTCGGCTGCGAACTTGGGCTCGTTGCTGTCCGCTCCGCTGTCGGGGCTCGTACTCATGTTGGCCAGTACCTCACCAAGGTTGGCTGCGCCCAGGAACTCGCTGATTTCTATAAGGAATATGTTAAAATTATTACAGGTACATACACCTCTACTATTTGCCTAGATGTATTACTCACTGTTAGTGCATTTTAATAAAGTTAGTTTGACGACCACTGCGAGGTACCGATATGTCTATCGGTACCTCGTTGCTTTGCAAAATGCGATTCCGGGTTCAATACTCGGTCAAGTCGAGTTTTTCTAATTTGTCTCGGATGTAAATGTTTTGGTTTATATTTGTTTGGTTCCTCATAACACAGGATATCGTAATTTCAGAAACAGGCGAATGGTGTGACGGTATTGTTATTATTTTTAAAAATTCACATCTCCCCTTTTAAGGAATAAAGATGGCAAACTATCCCTTCCCAGGGGGAGCACAGTCGGCAGTGATCGAGAGCTACAGGGAGATAAACTGACACACTATCTGAGCAGTACCTAAGAGCACAGCTTTCTGCAGCTTTCCAAGAAAAGAACTAGTCTAGAATTCCAACTGTCTCAGATGACGCTCGAGACTTTTTGGGATAAGACCGTTTACTGACAGAACAACTGAGGTGATTTCGGTGGATATCACCTTCCACATTTGGTCGTATCGCATGACTTGACATTTTTATTAAATATTTCAATTGTGTAATAAATACAAATTATTCTAGTTAAGGCTGTGTGGTTCCGGCATAGAAGAGGCCACCTCTTTTCCGTGGGTGTCGTAAGGAACGATTTAAGGAGAGCGAGGGATGGGCAGTAGCGTACCTTTTAAAATCTGCAAAGCCTAGTTGCGGTTGCCAACTCGCCTGCCAAGCGTGGCAACGATTGACTAAACCCCCCAAGGGGGAGGCTTATGTTTAGCGGTGGGCAGTTATTAAGATTTTATCCACTCACCGATATAGTATCCTTTTTCTCTTAACTTGGTGATCGTGTAGATGGAATTGAGGGAATTCCCTCCCAGTTCGTAGAAGCCGGCTCTTACGGACAAAGTTCCTCTGGCGGCGCGCCCCAGCACTTCTCCCACTGTTTCGAAGAGAACTTTAGCCGCTTCTTTATCTTGTTCATCTACGCCTGTATAGTCAATGTCTAATGCGATTGCAGAGTCGTCTGTAATTTGAATTTCCCATAATTATATTCTATTTTCATGATATACTAAGAAAAATAAAAAAAAAACTTATTATTTTGTTATTAAAAGTTTCGTAAACGTACATTATATTTTAATGTAATGACTATCGTTTTATTTTACTGAATATTAATAGAATAGTAACCCCGCGCTACCGGTATACGTTGGCGGGGCACCAGTGAGGATTGATAGGTGAGAATGAAAAGACAAATTAGTTAGCATATCGTGATGAATACGCTTCGAATTAAGCACGATTGTTTCCAGGTGGGACCACGGAGAGGTAGACCTGGTTGGGTATATTATTAGTAATAGGGTTCTTAGGCTTTGTTACTAACAATCCTTCCCCCTCTCCTCCCCCCCCCCCCCAACTACTTTAACTTACGTGTAATTAGGTCGGGAAAGCTCGACTAGTTTTGAAACCAATTTGGACTAACGCAGTCAGTGACAATACCACGGCAGACTAAGAAGACTATGGATTCGTTTACACTCAAAGATCTCCGCATGCCGTCTTTTTTATCGGTGATGGTGCCGCGAATGTCTTCGTCTGCGTTACAGCCGTTCATGATTAAGGGTCACGCATTGGTCTCGAAACTAGTCGAGCAATAAGTAAGAAAGTAATTTTTTTAACTTTTCTATGAAGTCGAAATTCTTTTTGTCCATTACTTATAATTTGAAACCTTTGACAGGTGTCATACACAGCATGATTAAAACAGTTGACAAATTATGTTAAATTATTAATTATAAAGGATATGAACGTTGAAAATAATATATTATTAATTATTACCATTATTGTTTGTATTCTCGTACATCTTCAGCAATGCTTGCCGGTCCACTTTCCCATTCACAAGCAAGGGGATGCTTTCTATCACAATTACCTGGAATATCATAAAAAAAAAACTCAATATTAGGGCCAATCGGATCAGAAGGTTAAAAGTAACCAAATATAATAATATTTGAATTTTATACTTTTTGACCCTACAAAAAATAATTTTAGAGAAAAAATAGATCTCTGTTATCCTACTTTGATCATAAAAGAATAATATTGGATAACAAATTTTTAAGATATTTGAAAAAAAGATATCCGACCGATATAGGTTATATATATATTAGATTTAAAAAAAAACCTGCGGTATCATGTAGCTAGTTAAAGAGTTCTTCAAGCTGGCCTCAATATGATGCGCGGCGATGCGTGCACTTGGTTCTATGGTGACAAATGCTAAGATTTCAGGGTTCCCTCGTTCCAAGCCGTAGCATAGTACAACGCCTGTTGAATATAATATAGTTGTTATTGAACAATAATGACGATTAATTTATATTTTATTTATTTATTTTGTTTATTTTATTTATTTATTCTATTCTTTACTGACTACATTACAAAAATTATAAGCTACAAAAGGCGGACTTATTGTCATGTACATTGATCCACAAGAAAAAAACAGACGTCCACTGTGACAAAATCAATTATTTTTATTCAAAAATTGAACTACTAAATCGATTTTAATATAATTTCTATGAAACTATTCTTATAAAAAAAAGATTTCTCCAAATCGGTTTAGAACTGACGGAGAAATGAGGTAACCAACATAAAAAATAATACCACTGGATTGTTCTTATTACTAATTTTTACTAAATTACTTTCCTCCGCATAAAGTTGTAATTCTAAGTTAGTTAAACTCTAAGTCTAAGTAGAAATTTTATAAAAGATTTATATTATTTAAATAAAAAAGGCCTTCAAAAGAGGTGTAATGAAATTTGTTACTGGGTTCTTACGTAACATTTTTGCTATAGAACATTTTTGCCTAAAGACAATATCTTGAATTGAATATATAAGGTAAAAAAAATATATAAATTCAGTTAATTGTTTCATTGCAGTTACATACATACGACGTAATAGAAAAAATTGCACCTTTAAGATCTTGATTAAATTAGGACACATTGTGATGTAGGTTTTAGATATAAAATATACCCATATTTAATAAATTATTACTAAAATGTTTGATTGCCCATATACGAAATGAAGAACAAAAAAATATTAATTTCTAAAATACGAACTGAACTGAGCCTCTAGGCTCAATTCAAGTATTGGCGCGTAACTTTTTTAATCCAGTGTACAACAGTGTAGGCTGTTATATTTTTATCTTATTTCAGTAAAAAAAAAAAAATATTATAGTAGATTTAAAGAAAATGGATGTAAGAAAACTCACATTTTTCAATGCCGGGTACTGCAGTCACGGCACGGTCAACCTCTTGCAAATCGACCCTGTGACCTCTAATTTTGACTTGAGAGTCGGTACGTCCAGCGTAAAGGATCACTCCCTTCTGTAGGATCCCAAAGTCGCCAGTGCGATATAGACGGCTAAAGTCTGCAAAGAAAATGTTTATCAGTTATTTCTTCAATAATTGTATTTAGATTTACTAAGTAGCGGCTGTGTCCCTGATTTTTGGTGCTTTTAAGTATCTGGAAATGTTTCGATTAAAGATCAAAAGACAGAAACTGTAATGATATAAATGAAATAATTTATCTATGCTCTAAGTCTAAAGATATAGGTTTACTATTGTAATTGTATTTATAAAATATTATTCATTAATTATGACTGCATCTAAATTAAATAAATAAATCAAAACTTTAACTATTTCAATTTTTTTTTTAATTGAGATTGAACAAAAGATCTATACAAAGTTATTAAACTTTTCTGACATAAATGAAATGACTTTTCTGTATAGTTTCCCATTAAATTAAAGGGGTTTGTTGGGGCACATACCTGGATGGTCAGCATGCGGGTTGTCACAGAATTTATCAGCACCCTGAGCTCCCACGTACCCAGCTGCTAGGTTATGTCCAGCGACCCACACTTCCCCTGGTTCAGTCTCACGGGCCGGATTCATCTCCTCATCTAAGAGGTACACCGCACAGTTGTCTAATGGGGAACCTGATAAGCAAAAAAATAAATTAAACAAAGAAATCAGCTACTTAATTACGTAACTTTTGTTTTTTATTTAAAACAAATTAAAGGTATGACCGTTTTTTTTTTCGTTTTTGCCTTTTAGTAGTGGCCAGCACTGCAGCTCGTACCAAACAAGAGTTAATTTCTGTGACATAAAGATCTTCTTGAATCACAGAATATTTCACTATCGTACCCATTCACAAATTCTTTCAAATCTGAATAAGGAATCATAAGGAAGCTGCTTTATGGTATAATAGCATAGCATATACCTTTATTTTATTCACAATTTAATTTCTCTGATTAAGTATAAAAATATCTCATCTTCAATACGAAGTACTGGCAGGAAACAAAATATACGAGTACTTACCGATAGGAACAGTATTGTACACGTCTAACTGACTAAGTTTCTCCAGTACATAGTAAGTGACGTCTCCCATAACTTCGGTACTGCCGTAGAAATTCGCCAGTTTGTATCCACCATTGTCACCGAAGTATCGGAAGAACTGGGTTGTTAACTCTTTACTTAGGGTCTCTCCTGAGCAGACCCAAAGCTTTAGGTACTGTAAAGGCCTTTCGGAAGGTGTGAGGGATAGGTACATTAGGATAGAACGAAGGAGAGTCGGCACTAGTACTAATCTTTCAACCTAGAACAAAACGGTAATTAATAATTTAAAATCAGAGCAAGTAATTAAAAGTCAGGCCAATTTAGGTATGAACTTGTCTGAATGGTCATGGTTGTGCCTCCAAACACAAGGTATCCTTACTTGAGGACCAGACAATTCGTGTATTATTGTTATTATAATAAAAATATATAAATAAAAAAAAAACATTAATGTAAATCTAAATATTCCCACATTAATTATTTATATAAATTCTGTGTAACATAGGGTCCGTTTCCCGTTGAAATTGGAATTGTAATCCCGTCTGCGTTCTCGGTTTGAGTACCAATAAATAATGGTAAGGATAAATCCAGGTCAACCCATCGTGACATTCTAATAAATTTATCAGAAAGTAACCTTGTTGATTTTCAGAGGAGACCACGCGAAGGTCGACTTCACACGATATATTTTTAGCAATGAGGACTAACCTCGCCATTAGTAATAATCCGTTCTTTTCAAGCCTATCGCTGTCTCGTAAAATTTAATATATTTTTTGATAAACGCTGAATTCGAAATCTTGACGTGTGAGGTAATTTAAAAACAATTTATGTGAAGTAAGCATAGGTAATGTATAGCAATATTCACATATGTATTGTAGTTACAATATCTGTTTATTGGTTTAATATATATAAAATATATATATTAAATAGCGATTATCAAATATATAATATCTAAATAAATAACCTGATGGAATTGAATATAGGTCATTCAACTGACACGGGAAATATAGAAATGGGTAATGACCTTTTTTTCCAAGATCAATATCCAGAAGACAAAACCCAATATATAGATATCGGTTCGGTACCGATATCGCCCATGCCTAGTGTAAGGTTTTAGGAATAATAATATATAAATTTCATAAAATATACTAACCTGATTCTCAGCTAAAACTCGCACCAATTTTTGTGGATCCCTAGTCGTCTCCTTCGATAAGATTAACAGAGTCCTACCGTGTAGAAGAGGGCCCCAAATTTCACAGACTGAATCCACAAAGGTCAAAGCCGTCTTCCAAACACAGGTCTTCTCTGTATTCGAATAGGGGAAGGTCCGGAATTGCCACCAGAGTCGGTTGCATATAGCCGAATAAGGTAGACGGACACCTGAAAGTAGCCATGCATGATATAGGATCCAACTGGACGAAGTATTATTATTTTTAAAACATATTTTTTAAAATGATGATATATGATATAAATGTCATACATATATTACATATATGTATGACTCGCACTGCGGGCAGAAGATGAGACGCAATGGCGTAAAGCTCCGTACGCCCCCTGAAGAAAACATCCGGATATCACTAAAAACCTAACTGCGGTTGTCAACTCGCCTGTCAAATGTGGCATTTACTTGAAAACCCCCCTTTTTGGGAAGACTTATGTTCAACAGTGGACAGTTAACGGCTGATATGATGGCTACATGACTCAAGATAATTATTATGTAACAATAACTTGGAATATCTTACAATGATATTTTACTATGTCAAAGGCATATGTATAATTTTTTTTATACAACCTAGAATGGCAAACAAGCTGACGGCCCACCTGATGGAAAGTGGTAACCGTTGCCTATAGACATGAGCAGTACCATGGACATAACAGAGTATATTGTTTCGCCTATGATACCCCCATGCGTTGCTATTCCTGAGGACTCAGGTGTTATTCCTCTGTACCCAGTAAATTCACGCCATATCCCACCCTTCAAACCGAAACACAACCATGCAAACACAACTGCTTTACGGTTAAAACACGAATGGGACAGAGGTACTCAAGCAATCGACTTTTGTACAAAGTCTCCCTCTGGTAACTATATACTCTCAGACACTGTCTTTGCTTGCCATAGTATAGACCACACACCCTCCTTTTAAATACACCTATGTCAATTAGAGTGTATAAAATCATACCTTTCGGCACACCCGTGCTTCCAGATGTGTACAGTACGATAGCAATACTGTCTGTTCCGGCGTGAGCCAACACTTCCGGACTTTTTAGTTCCTCGGCGGATAGTCCACTGGCTTCTTGAATCAATTCTTCAAAAGACACCGATGGGATGCCACTGCCGGCGAACATAGCTGGATTTGCTGAAATAAAATTTGCAATATATATATATATATATATATATATATATATATATATATATATATATATATATATATATATATATATATATATATATATATATATATATATATACACACGTATATATAATATTTTAATGACGCTACTTTAACAAGAATGAAAGAAGCTCGTTTGGAAAAATGAAACGTTTCAAAATTTTCAAATGTTACATAGTGTCTTTATGTATCCTGAATTAAGAGCATCATAGTTAAAGATTTTGCCCACAATCAAAACCAACTTCAATTATTACAAAACCAAACCGTTTTTGATAAAAATTCTAACCGGATTAAATTGTAAGTATATCCTTTCAACTAAAGAAAGAATTTCCCAAATCGGTTTAGAACTGTCAAACATAAAAAAATACAACCGAATTGAGAACTTTCTCATTTTTGCAGTCAATTGAAAGTGGCTATGGTTCTTAACTCTAACCTAATTCAATTTGATAATATATTGTAATAACAACATTTCCTTATGTTATGAAATCAAGTGCATTAACGTGCAGATAGTCGTGCGTCAAAAGTGAGTATTAAGTAGTTATTCTTTGTTAATTCAGGAAAAACTGAGTGGATATGCAACGCAGTGTATCAGTATCATATTACAATGTACGTATATTACAAAGAGTAACTGTTGAGTTTCTTACGAATTCTTCTCAACAATTAACAACATTCCAAACCCAACAGTAAAATAATTAAAAATGACGATTAAAAAGAACTTGTAAATAAGAATATTTGAATAAAGATGATTTCTGTTCTATTCTATTTAACTTCTAAGTATTTTAAATCTGAATAATAGACTACAGATGTTTTTTTTAAATAACGATCATGACATGAACATGTGTATCCGATAAAAAGTCCATTCGCAATGCCCAGTGTAGAACGGAACGTATCAGACACGGTATCACAATGGCCTATCATATTGTCATTACATTCGCGTAACATTTTACGTCCAAACTAGTTGTCATGAAGGTAAATAATTGAAAATTGTGTCCCTAAAAAAAACATAAACTTCAATTGTGACAAAACCAGTATTGTGATCTAAAAATTAAACCACTTAACCGATTTTGATAAAACTTCTATGAGACCAATCTGTAAGTATATATCATTTAAGATTAAAAAATCCAAATCGGTTTAGAACTGACAGAGCTATTAGGTAACAAACATAAAAAAAACAAACCTTCTAAAATTCTTCAAAAGGGGAGTAAAGAGGTTTCTTCATTATCGGCAACGCGCGCATAATACCTCTGGTATTGCAGGCATTCATAGGCTACGGTGACCGCTTACCATCAGGTGGGTCGTATGCTAGTTTGCCACCTCAGTGGTATAAAAAAAATATACAACCGAATTGAGAACTTTCTACTTTTTAAACCGGTTGGAAAAAAAAAACACACAAAATAAATTTTAATTATTAAGAAATGATTACTTACCACTATCATCATAAATAACTAAGGCCGGCTCAGCGTCTTGCAGTATGTGTGATATCCTCGCTTGTGGGAAGCTGGGTTCCATCGGCACATACGCTGCCCCCGCCTTCCAAGTCGCTAATAATGTTAACACTGTACTGAAAAATTATTAAATGTTATTTATTCTGTCAATAAAAGTGTAATAACTTGTGATGAAGTATCTTATTGAATATTTCTCCTAAAAATGTAATATCTACATTTTTAGTAGATACTGGATAAATAATAATAAAAAATATCATAGAGCCATTATTTCTCATCATATGTTTGTATTCTCACAAAAAAGTTAGAAAGTGTAAAATTACATACACATGGGTTCATTTATTAAGTGGGAAGTCACAAACATTTATGGTAATAAAATATATACAATAATAAAATATATAATTACAGGATACAAACCCATAACACCTTAGTCCTTAAGAATAAGGACGCAGGAAGGGTATCAAGGGAAATACAGTATACTCTGTTATGTCCATGGTACCCTATAGACGATGGTTGCCACTTTCAATCAGGTGGGCCGTCAGCTTGTTTGACATTCTAAGTTGCATGCATAAATTAACTATTTTTTCTATTAACATAATAAATGCGAATGTTTGTAAGGATGGATAGATGAATGGATGTTTGTTTATTTTTCACGCAAAATCTACTGAACGGATTTGAATAAAATTTGTACACAAGTAGGTATATGCTAATTTAGCACATGGGATAATTTATGTACTAATTCATGCGAGTGGAGCCGGGGGATACTGTCTATTATATTATATCTACTATCTATTATATTTAATATTAGCACACATAGAAGACGAGGTAGAAGACGGACATAAAAAAAACTGGGGCATATGTACCTTTTTTCCTGTGGGTTACAGGACGGGGTATGTTTTTAAGTAGATATAAGTCGAGAAGGTGAAAACAACTAATATTTTACTAGTGTATAAATATGTTAAGTGTTACGTTGACCCCAATAGTAATAGTCGTAAGCATATATTTTTTATTTATATTATATAATTTGACCGTGGACATGATATGTTTATATATTTTAAATAAATAAATAAATTTGCATAATTAAATAAATTAATCTTCATAAATTAGTTTTTCAAACTCAACTCTTACTATGGCGTATAGTGAGAGTTTGATTTATGAATATTAAACTTACTTGTGTGTAGGTTGCATGCACACAGCTATCACATAGTCACCGTCCCTGTTGGCGCCAGTCGGTCTGGCGCGTTTAGACAACGCTTTCGCTATCGCATTCGTCTGAGCTTCCATTTCCACATAACTGATACGAGCATTGCAGGTTTCATCTAAAAAAAAGGGAATTTTTTTTTGGTGGATGAAAATAGAATGGTAACCCCGCCTGCGCTAATGGGATACGCTGGCGGAGCACTAGTGAAGGGTGATCGATGAGAATGAAAACAGGCCAGTTAGCGCATCATGATGAATTCATCAGGAATTAACCATGATAGTTTCCAGGGGGAACCACGAGGAGGTCGACCTGGTTGGGTATATTGCTAGCAATGGGATAAAAGGGTAAATTTGAATCGTTCTATGTAACCATCACAGCACATATCCCTGGTACATTCAATTTTTTAAGCGACAATTCCCACTTTTCTTACACTTATAGTTTGTTCCTTTGTCGCCTTTATCTCATAGTTCACTATTATTTTGAAAAAATGTGTGGAGTTTAAAAAAAAAGTTTTGTATCCAATTTTTTTATTGTCTGTCCAATTAAATTAACTGTAAAAGTGGTAATGTTATAAAAAAATATCTTCATGTATTAATTCATCCCTTCAGGTTCTTAAGGTTAACTGAAAAAAAAAACTCTTTAAGAGATAAGTCCGCCTGTGTACATTTTTGTAATACCTAATATCTACATATATTATAAGTGAATGTACAAAAGTATATAAATAAATAAATAATATTAATATTTAATAGACATAATAAAAAAAAAAAAGAGAAAAATTAACAGATGCCAAACTTAGTACTACGTGGTCTTTGTTAAAAAATTTTAAGACTTCAATGCAAATAAACTTATTTCATTTCAACAATATACCACCAAAGACATAAAAGGAATTACTATATCCAATATTTCTGATCTAGACATTAATCAAAACCAAATTGAATAATTCCTTCGACAAATAGGTCACAATACAATTTATGAATGACGACTCTATTGAAGCTCGTTATCCATTGTAGACGCCACAACACGCACTCATCGTTGGGTACAGATTAGGAACTATACAGGTATACAATTGCATGACTAGAAAACTATGAATTATTTTTAAATACTGCGCCAACTCGATTATTCGGTAAGGCACAGGCATGGGTACCTCTGTCCCGTGTTTGACCGTGAAGCAATCACGCAAGGTTAGGTTTCGGTTTCAAGTGTGGGATATGGTAGTGAAATTATAGGGTTTGGAGGCATAACCTCAGGAGAAGGGGGAAAGGAATTGTTAGTAATAGGATTTAACTGACCCATTGTCAGCAATATACCCTATCTAATCGACCTCAACGCGGTTCCACCTGGAAACTATCGTGGTTAATTCTAGTAGATGGACTAACTGACCTGCTTTCATCGTCATCTATCATCCCTCACTGGTACCCCGCCAGCGTATATCGAAAGCGCAGGCGAGGTTATCACCCATAAAAAACCTCAAGAGGACGCATGAGGAATACCATGGATATTAGCATGGCCACAGGCATGGGTCTGAGCAATTTTCTTACAATATTTGTTTTTTTTTAAATACCTGAATATACAAGAGCCGTCTCCTGGCTGGCGGCCAGCCGTGCCAGGTGGGTCGGCAGCGGCGCAGCCGGTACCACCGCCCGCCCGCCGCTCACCACCGACATGCGAGGCAGGGAGCCCATCACCGCTATAACAAAATTCACAACACTGAATTCCACCTTCATCATCATATTAACCCTTAACTGTCCACTGTTGAACATATGACTCTCCCTCGGGAGAGGGAGGGGGGGGGAGTTGCCAGTCATTGCCATGCGTATTACTGAAGTAATTGCCAAAGGGAGACTGTACAAAAATCGTTTGCTTGGGCACCTCTGTCCCATTCGTGTTGTTACTGTGAAGCACTTGTGTTTGCATAGCTGTGTTTCTGTTTGAAGCTTCGTTCCGCTGCCCATTCCTCGCCCTCCCTTAGAGGCGATTTTAACGACACCCATGGGATAAGAAGGGGTGGCCTATTCTAGTGCCGGGACCACACGGCGATATACGTATACGATGGGAAAATAACGAACTCATCGTTTTTGTCATTTCCGAGAATTGTTTCGACTTCATCCGGAAGTCTTCTTCAGGGGGCGTACGGCGCTGTCAGAAACAGCAAACATGGTGAGCATGTTAATTTCCTGTTATATATATGTGTGTGTGTGTGTGTGTGTGTGACAACCTACCACTGTTTATCCCGAAGATTGATTGGTACGGAATGTTTGCTTTTGCTTTTGGTCAATAAAGTTATTTAAATATAAATGTAGGGGATTCAGTGTTTCTTTTTTTATGGATGATAATGGAACGGTAACCCCGTTTGCTGGATCGGTATACGCTGGCGAGGCACCAGTGACAGATAATAGGGTTACGTATAGTACGAATTCCATAAGGATTAACCACGACGGTCGACCTGATAGGGCTATGATATTGCTAATATCACAGATGGCTTTACCATTCCATTTTAATTACTAATAAATCCTCGGAAACATAATCATGGAACTATAATTTAATTACCATAGTGCAAGCCATCAGATTGTTTGCTATTCTTAGTAGTTATTTGTTATATACAATGTTATATACAATTTGTTATATACAATTTGATTCCACAATTTGTGATTGGCGATATAATAACCAACAGATTCTGCCAATAAGACATTGTCATGGCACGAACAATGTTGATTGAGGTAATTGCTCGAATTGGTAGGCAATTATGGACAATTTACATGCAATCACCACTGATTGTAGGATACGCTAATGTATGTACAATTTGTTTGATTAATTCGTTTCGGAAGAATTGATTAAACATTATATTTTTAGGAGGTGCTGATTTTTTTTTAGATAACAACTGACGATTTATCTCGAGGAATGGGTAGATGAATAAGTGATGGTTGGAAAGTGGTACCCATTGCCTACAGTGGATTTCCGGGGAGAAGAGGTTTTTTTTTTTATACAACTTAGAATGGCAAACAAGCTGACGGCCCACCTGATGGAAAGTGGTAACCGTCGCCTATAGACATGAGCAGTACCATGGACTTAACAGAGCATACTGTTTCGCCCATTATACTTCCCATGCGTTGCCATTCCTGAGGACTCAGGTGTTTTTCCTCTGTACCCTGTAAATTCACGCCATATCCCACCATTCAAACCGAAACACAGCCATGCAAACACAATTGCTTCACGGTAGAAACACGAATGGGACAGAGGTACCCAAGCAAACGACTTTTGTACAAAGTCTCCCTCTGGTGTTGTTAGTAACAGGTCATCGCTAGCAATATATCCTATCAGGTAAATTCTTGTGGAATTCAATTTCATTCTCACCTGTCACCTATCACTGGTATCCAGTCAGCGCACACCGATAACGCAGACGGGGTTAACATTCCATTATCATTCATAAAAAAAAAAACAGAAATCCCCTGCATTTATTTATTTAAATAACTTTATTGACCAAAAGAAAATATGGTAAGCTGTCTATGATTTTGGTTATCAGCCATTAAAAGTCAAAGTAAGTTATAAAAACATTCAGAAAACTTTAATAACTAAGGGATTGACTTAATTTATTTTTAAGAGTAAAGTCTACGAATATCTTTTGAAGAAGCTGTGAAAGCAGTTCATCATCTTCCGCATCATCACCTTTCATCTCTATCGTTGTTTATTGGTATTATAGTAAATAATCTATAAGTATGTATATTTATATTTGTATGTAGGTTTTTATGATATATATTTGTATATGTAAGTAATATTTGTTTAATGTATTCGTGTATGTATATTTATATAATCATAATGTGCAGTAGTTTTCCATTATATATGTTATGATTTGTAAGTCGATACGTAAGTGTAATTGTTTATCTACAACAATTTTCAATATTTTCACCGCATAATTACATTTCTGTTTTACCAATGGGAGAAAATGTATATCATAGTATTTATAGTCCGTAGTAGTAGTCCGTATTTTGTAACAGATTTTTTTTTTGTAAATTGGTCAATAAAGAATAAATAAATTACACAAAAGTGAACAGTTTATAATCAACACAGGACCTTATATTATACTTTATACATCATAATTTCTATTAGAACGATGTATTTTCTTTATCTAGTGAAAGAAATTAGGAAGAATATTCTCCTAAATCAAGGGCTTGCAATCGAACAAACAATACCAACAAAAATTATAGGCACTTAGTTAAAACAAACAACCTGTAGCATGTCACAGCGTTACCGTCTTCAGTTGAAGGCAACAAGTATCTAATTGGGCACTTGATTGGCTTTTTTATTCATTTCAAGGAAAAATCTTCAAAATCAGGTTAATATTACAATTTATTTATATTCATGAACAAGTTATACATATTTATGAAACAGGAATAAATTCTTCAGGCGCTGCGCAAACGCAAGCACTCTCTGTACTCTCATTTAAGTCACCAGGCAACTATCTCATAACTTTCTTTGTCATGTGACTTCCAAAAGAAGGAGATTCTTGATTTGTCTATTTTGTATGGCTATATTACGTTACTTTTTTAAATTTATTAAACAAAGTTGAATAAAGCAATAATAATTTATAATTATTTTTACAACTATCTTTTAACTGCGACTTTGTCTGGGTGACCAGAAAACGTTCATTAACCAGGATAAAATGTAGCTTATATCTTTCTCCATGTCATATATGTATACCATATATGAGATACGGTTATACATTGATTGGTTAAGCCGTTAATGTGCTAAGAGGTACCAAACTCATTTTCATATTTATAATATTAGTAATAATAGATTTACACCCATCTTGGGCCCATATTGTGATTAAGACTGTCGTTTTTCTTTACGTAGGAAAATCTAAATTGTAAAAATACGATTCCGCGTTCAAAATTATTTTAATTCTAAATCCGTAACATTTTGTTGTTTAACGATTTATTTTAAATATTGTTATAAATTTTTTTTATTGTTATTTAATTTTATTGTCACGATTAAAGTAGCTGTTATTTTTATGAAGCATACCGTTTAAACATATTGGATATGTTAAAATATCATACCTATACTACTATGGTAGGATTTATACCGAAGGAAATGTTAAGCTCCTTTTACTGTACTAATTTCGATATAATCAAAAATAGAAAATTGATCCCGAAAAATTCTGAATTTCATTTCATGGTAGACCCCAGTGCACCAATTTCTTTATCAAATTGTTCAATATTTAAGAACGGGCAAGCCGTATGATTTTTCCACATTGAATCTCTTTCAGGTCGATCCTTCTATTTATATTTATTTACATATAATTTAATTAATAATAGTACACGTACTCGACTAATTTGCATTACAACTATTTTAATAATATTCATGTAAATCCAGTAATAAAAAAAATATTATTAATAACACAACCTTCTGATGCAACAAACTAGTATTAAAGCATCATCTACGGTAATCATACAATGTACGAATGGTAATGAGAGTATTAAAAAAGTAAAAAATCCAAAGATAAATACTTCCTTGTCTTATATCCCTTGACCTCGCTTGAACTAAATCTACGCTCATCTATAAGTACTTTATACACGTACAATATGATAGGTATTTGTATTTTTTTTATTTACTTATGACCACGGAAACAAGTCCTTCAGTCGCAGACATAAATGATATTTACAAACAAGAGAATATAGTTCAAATTACCAGATAAAAACAATTTGTTATCAGTGTTGCCAGATTGGGTATTTTTTTTTTTACAATTTTGAGTAAAAACCTTTGTGTTCATTGGTTTTAGCGATTAATATGAACAATTATCACTATGTAGTGATACAGGATTTTTGTATCATCATCACCATCACCAGCCGTTAATTGTGCACTATTGAACATAGGCTTCCATAAGGGGGGTTTTGCCAGTAGTTGCCACGTTTGACAAGCGAGTTGGCAACCGCAGTTAGGCTTTGGTGATGTGTTAAAAGGGACGTTGCTGCTCGACTATTAAGTTCCCTTTGCTGCCTTTTACGATAATCACAGGAAAGAAAGAATTGGCCTGTTCTATGCCGGCAACACACGGCGATAGGGGGGAAGAGATTGTTAGTAATGGGGAGGTTAGTCCTCCTTACTATCAATAAACTCTAACAGACCTCCACGCGGTTCCCCCTGAAAACTATCGTGACAAATTTATCATTGAATTCGTCACGATGATCTAACTGACCTGCTTTTTTATCCTCATCTATCACCTCTCACTGGTACCTCGCCAGTGTATACCGTTAGCGCAGGCGGGTTTATTATGCCATTTTCACCCATTAAAAAAAACCACACGGCGATAGATTAATTAGATCATAATCATTTATAATAATAAGATTCAGCAATCTCTATTACAAAAAAATATTATAGAATTACCTCCCCCAAAAGGAGGAGTTCCTTTCACCTATAAGGTTTCTCTTACGTATTAATACCATATAAATTTTATTACTATTGAAACCTCATTATTTTGTAGAACGGAATTACCAAACCAAATGTACAACACTATTATCAGCTATTATTGCGTGATGTGATTTGACAACCATAACATAACATAGTGACAATCGAGACCATAAATATTCCATTGACATTTAATCATAGACTTTAATAACATTTTAATAAACATCTTAAATATTCATAAAATTATAATAAATGACACCGGAATTATAAAATTACGATCTTGATGGT